CTATCAATGTTTTTTTATAATGTTGTTCATGTAATCAAATAAACAAACATGTGATTTGGTTTCTTATTTTAAATTAAATTCCATTTACACGATTAGTGTTGACATTCTTGAACTAAAATGTACTGTGTTTTCAACTATTGCTAACAACTGATGACGAGCAGTATCTGATAGCAACTGAGTTATCAACTATTGCTAACAACTGATGACGAGTAGTATCTGATAGCAACTGAGTTATCAACTATTGCTAACAACTGATGACGAGCAGTATCTGATAGCAACTGTGTTTTTTAACTATTGCTAACAACTGATGACGAGCAGTATCTGATAGCAACTGTGTTTTCAACTATTGCTAACAACTGATGACGAGCAGTATCTGATAGCAACTGTGTTTTTTAACTATTGCTAACAACTGATGACGAGCAGTATCTGATAGCAACTGTGTTTTCAACTATTGCTAACAACTGATGACGAGCAGTATCTGATAGCAACTGTGTTTTTTAACTATTGCTAACAACTGATGACGAGCAGTATCTGATAGCAACTGTGTTTTCAACTATTGCTAACAACTGATGACGAGCAGTATCTGATAGCAACTGTGTTTTCAACTAATCGCGCTAAAGAATCTCAACAGCAACTTGGTTTTTAACAACTGCGTGCAACTTGGTGGCGTTCGGGGAGAATATGATTAGAATATGAAATTGATTAATTATCGAGAGAAAAAAAAAGGAGACTTATACTAAATGCTCAGGCCTATTTTCCTAAAATTTAATTTCGATTCCATAAAGTCGGTCCAATGCCCACAAAATGGGTTAATATCTTGCTCTAGTTTAACTTTCTTTATATGTGTTTAGCACATAGTTTTCCGGAAAATGCGATTTGCGGCTTTCACTTATCATTAAATCGGTCATCAAAGTTTATTTCGATAATGGTCAAACTTCACTTAAAATTGGGTTTATGTCGTATTTTCAATTATTCCCTTTACACGTTATTGATAATGATAATCTTTCATTTCCTGCGACTGCGATTGATAATATACTTAGTCTTGTGTTGAAGGAATATATGGGAACAATGAGGTCGATAAAATTTTATATTAAACTCTCTACTGTCGTCAATAAGATGTTTAACTCTTGGAATCAAATGAATAGGAATTTTTAAGTCTTGCTTATCTGTAGGCGCTATTCCGATGTATGAACCTCAATACCTTAACATATTTACGTGTATAATTATTCCATAGAACGTCGAATTGGATATTCATTTTAAAAAACTGAATTTTTCAAATTCGAATATAGCTGGTTGATTCAAACGTAAGCAAACGTCATATAGGATTTTAAATCTGAAAAAAAAATGCAAATAGCTGATATAACCAGGATTATGATAATTACTGATAATCCCTTGAAACCTATTTATATTTGTATTCATTCAGTATTAAAATGATAATATCTGGAAGAATATTCAGTAACAGCGGGCTTAGTAATTAAAATATTCAAATTTTCACTTTGAAAAAAGTTACGAATATCTGATATAAGCTACTTTATTAATTACTTATAATCCCTTGAAACATATGAACGTATTTAATATTATGTATTAAAATGATAATATCTAAAAGAATATTCAGAAATACCTCGGCATGTAACAGCGGGCGAAGTAATTAAAATTATTCAAATGGCATCATCAAAACTAGATTTAAATTAAAACAGGTGGGCCGTATCTGAATATGATGGTATTAGATTGCAAGTGTGTCTACTCTCTATATTTATCTAAAGGAACCTTCAAACCATTGCGATTACCAGTTGCGAATGGTTGCCAATAATGAAAGCGATCATAAGAAATTAAAATTACATCTCCTCTGCAAATTTATGTCTCATTGTTTTTCTAATATATTCGCTTAAAGATTGTTCCCTTATTTTTATTTATGAAAATGAAATGCTAATACTTATATGAAAAGAAAGTAGAGGTGTTCTAATGACTTAGAAAAATACCAGTTTGTCTCACATGTCCATAATTAATTCATAATTAGCTAAATTGGAAGAGAATTCCAATGAGTGACCGATCAAGGAAGGTCAAAAAGTCTTTTTTTGTTTATCCAGACCGTACACGATATATTGCTTAATTTGACACTAAAAAATAAGGAAACCTATCTTTAAGTCAGTTATTTTATAATTCTGTTTTAGTTAAGATTCCTTCATCAAATAGGATGATTTCTGAGTATTTTTTCTATTTTTATTGTCTTCTTGGGAGAAAAAAATATATAAATCCAAGACAACAAAAAGCAAGTCAATTCTTTTGGGCAAGGACCTGATTTGGAAAGGATTCCCAAAAGTCTAAGCCTTTACAATTTAATCTCAAATTCAATTCATTATAATTTCGTCCCCATTGTCTCCCTTCAGTCCATCGTAAACAAAATAAGAAAAAGAGAAATGGAATTCTAATGTTATTTTAATTCGATTGAGTCTGTTAAAATGTTTCTTTATTAAAAACAAACTGATGTAGAAAGATTCCAGAGAGCTTCAAGGGACATTCCGCTTTTTGATCAAATTTGTGAAAACTATAACCAAAAGCTAGAGAAATGTATCCTTCTCTGAAAGTTTTAACTAAAACAATCCAGCAGTTCATTTTTTAACGCCAAAACTATTTTAAGAGTTTTAGAGTTTACATAAGTTTCCGTAAACGTTTGTAGTTCGTTATGTTTTTTGGAAGCTGTAAGGAAACCACTGTACACATTTAAGTAAAATAAAACGCTTAATTGTAGAGAAATATGTCTCCTACGTATTCTAAATATTTCAACTACTAATAACGAGCCATTATAAAGCCAAACACCAAAACTAGATCAAACTGCTTAATTAACTCTCTGGTTTTAATTAACCCTTTTTAAAAATTCCTTTTCTATAAATAGCATATTTAAGAAATATTTTCAGATAATTTACGACGTTTTTGACAATGAAAATGTTTTACAAGAAAAGCGGAATTCCCTTTGAGTGAAATCGGACGAAAAATATGTATCACCAAGAAAGAAAAAACATTGGCTTAAGAAATGGTGTTAGGATCAACAAATTTCGTTCCTTTTTTATGTCATACGTTAAATCAAGAAACTGATGAAGAAAGATTTCCAAGAGCTAAAGCTGTTAACGACCGCATCTTCTTCAATTGCCTTCTCTTACTAAATAGGTCATGGACAACATGTAAGAATATACCGAGATGTCTCAATTTATTGAAAAACAAGTGTTTATCAGATACTGTAGCAGGCTATTATATATATGGGATTGTCAAGTAGGAACTCTACCCGTATATAGTGATAAAGACGTTAATAAACTTGTTATGTGTATCAGGGACACTGATAGCATTGATTTGTACAATTGTAATTTTCAATGAGACGTTTGTAATAATCCTGGATATAAAGAGATTGTAAAGAAGTTATCTAAACTTTTTATGTGTATCAGAGACACTGATAGCATCGATTTATACCATTTCAATTTTCACTCAGACATCTGTGTTTTATGTTATTATAAAAAAAACTTTGATATTTTGTTAATGTAGGATTTAAAAAGATTGTAAAACCTGTCCCTCCGATCTCCATCAATGGCAGAGGGGAATGGGATTGAACACTTCGAAGGAACCATCCATTGCCCTTTTCCATACCTACCTCTCGGACCTCCATCAATAGCACAGGAGATTCAGTTTGAATGGATGTGGATATAATCTTGCCATTCTCGATACCTGCCCCTCCAACCAAACTCACCGACAATGGCTTGCTAGATTGAAAATCTAAGGGTATCACTCCTACCACACTGCAGCGGGAAATTTACCAGTCGAATTCAGTGGGAAGGGAATCAGGTTAATGCCAAGTGTCATACTGTCAAGACCATCTGAAAGATAATCGTAACGCGTGTCCATTCTGTCAGCTTAAAACTCGATTACTTCCCTAGACTTTACCCTGAAGGCTATATTTCACCCACCGTCCATAAGACGTTGTCTGCATAGAAATAAATCTGTTTCTGTCAGGTAGGCGGAGTGTCACTTTGACTTAAGTGTCCGGAGATTAATCCCAGTAAAGGTTGAAGCGATTCTTTCGGAATTTCAACCCCATTGGTCAGTTAGTCGGGCTGACACAAATACGTCCATTGGACGCCGTCTGCACACAAATAAATCTGTTTCTGCTAGGTAGGCAGAGTGTCACTTTGACCTAGGTGTCTGGAGATTAATCCCAGAATAAGTCGAGGCGATTCCTTCAGAATTTCAACCCCATTGGTCAGTCAGTCAGGCTGACACAAATACGTCCATTAGAAGCCGTCTGCATACAAATAAATCTGTTTCTGTCAGGTAGGCAGAGTGTCACTTTGACCTAGGTGTCCATTAGTCACCTTTTGAAACACAGGCACTTGTAACTTTTATTAAACAGAGTTACCTCCCTTCAACCACTTAACTGTCCTCACTACTAAGCCTTACACATAAGAAAATGGTACCCCCTTGTATCCACTGTTACAACGTCATTAAATAAAAGCCAAAGCATAATCGATTAGGGACGTCATCAAACGCTAAGCTTTAGTGGACGTCTCATTGAAAATTTGAATGATGTAAATTGATTCTATCAGTGTCCCCAATACAGATAAATAGAAAGATAGAAAACCTCTTTACAGTCTCTTTAACTCACCTATATACCATGATTATAGGGCAGTCTGGAGAGGAAAGTCTGTTAAAAACCTTCTATATTGAGTCTTACATTGGCATCAAGCTCGTAAATCTAGATTGCTTATGACAGCGACAAGTTAACTCATGTACATGATATTTCAAACACAAGGCAAGTCAGACATATAACCACATCATCGCGTTTCATTTGGTTAAAAAAAATTGTAACAATGGCGGTTTCTATGTCCAGTAATGGTATATCATATATCTCGCAAAACGAGATCATTGTGGCCATACAGTTACCAAAACTCGGTGCTTGTTTCAATGGTAGTTTCTGTGCCTCATACAAAGCCAGGCTCCAAAAGATACTTGGAAGTTTGAACGTCCTATGTGGAAATTTGAACGTCCTATGTGGAAGTTTGAACGTTCTATGTGGAAGCTTGAACGTCCTATGTGGAAGTTTGAACGTTCTATGTGGAAGTTTGAACGTCCTATGTGGAAGCTTGAACGTCCTATGTGGAAGTTTGAACGTCCTATGTGGAAGTTTGAACGTCCTATGAGGAAGTTTGAAAAGTTTGAACGTCCTATGTGGAAGTTTGAACGTCCTATGTGGAAGTTTGAACGTCCTATGTGGAAGTTTGAACGTCCTATGTAGAGATGAAAACGTTCTATGTGGAAGTTTGAACGTCCTATGTGGAAGTTTGAACGTCCTATGTGGAAGTTTGAACGTCCTATGTGGAAGTTTGAACGTCCTATGTAGAGATGAAAACGTTCTATGTGGAAGTTTGAACGTCCTATGTGGAAGTTTGGAGGTCCTATGTGGAAGTTTGGACGTCCTATGTGGAAGTCCTAAGAAAGCACATACTGCGCCATAAAGTACCACCAAAAAATGATAGATACTTTGTTTATTGCCCTGTCGGAGGCATTATTGCGTCATAAAAGCACCGCAAAAAATCGCATAGTTTAAACCGGACTTCCTTCCTTTTACGTCCTGCTGTTTTTCATCCGTCTACGTCGTTTCTTTCTATTTCAATTCGGAAGTCGTTGCGACTGATTGATGATCAAAAAACATTAATATGACAATAAAGCCGGACCACTTGGTGCGTACACGGCTTAAAGAGAGCCTAAGTTTTTTTTATTGGAATTTGGAATATTAAAGAGACTCTCTTAGTAAAGGTGCAAATTTAACCTAACTAAAAGTTTGACGATGCTACGGTCTCATAAATCATAGAATTTTAGCTTTGTGAACTCTCTAAAGGAGTTAGCTGCTGCGTGGGCGATCAAGAGAGCAAGATAAGCAGAAACAGTCCCATATATAGCTGTGGGGCGAGGGTAGAATTTATTTGATAACTTTAAGGGATTTATATGGTCGTCGAAGTTCACCGACTGGTGCAAATAAATATTCTGAGCTATGTGGACTCTCTGAAAGTGGTGTCAAGTTGACAAACCAAAAGAGCAAATTAATATAAGCTATGTGGACTCTCTGAAAGAGATGATGAGTTGACAAACCCATAGATCAAGTAAATGATATTAGCTATGTGGACTCTATGAAAGTGGTGTCAAGTTGACAAACCCATAGATCAAGTAAATGATATTAGCTCTGTGGACTCTATGAAAGTGGTGTCAAGTTGACAAACCAAAAGATCAAGTAAATGATATAAGCTATATGGACTCTATGAAAGTGGTGTCAAGTTGACAAACTAAAAGATCAAGTAAATAATATTAGCTATGTGGACTCTCTGAAAGGGATGATGGGTTGGAAAACCTAAATGTAAATATTATTAGCTATGTGGATTCTCTGAAAGAGATGCTGAGTTAACTAGCGAGTTTTGCATTCTCTTTTAACCTCAGCATATTCTCAGCTCCAAAGATATGTTACTTAAAACCGTGTTGACAGTGAACGATGACCTTTTATAACTAAATATCAAGAACGAGTATCGATTACAATTTCATAAAAAAAAATTAATTAACCAAAAATAAATCCTTTACATTTCTAATTGGCTTCATAATTCCTTCGTAGTTTTTCAATAATCGTATTTTTTCTAAAACGTAATCTCGCAAAAAGAATAACCTCTTCCTAATTAGCCTAATATTTTCTATTATTCGCTTTGATGCCTTGAGCGACATCTTCAAATATCACTCACGTTAAACCTAAAATGGTGGAAAATTAAGGGGAAATTGATCCGATGTTTTCATACTTGATTTCTTAAAGGGATTTAATCGTTGAATTATTTGCTTTACCAGCTGATGCGACTAACATTCAGCTAAATCTTGCATTTTCTTAATTCCATATAACCGAAACTTTTTTTTAGAATGTTAGTGTAAAATACTAGAAATGTGAAAACAGAACCTGAAACATGTTGTTACTAAATAAGATTGTACTGATTAGAATGTAGATTAAAATCTTTCGAGTAATTAATTGCAGACGCATAGAAGACTAGGTTACGTTGAGCAAATGGCGGATGTGGGTTCAATTTTCAATCGGCGTGTGATAATCTGATGACCTTGAATAAGTCATCTTCCCTCATAATTCCAGTCGACCCAGCTGTAAATGAGTATTGATAATCCAGGAAAGATCAACCCTAACAAGGACCAGCTGGTAGAAAGGATCCTTAACTGTAAACCTAAGTTGTTATCCTTGTAAAATATAGTTTTTTTTCTTTTTTTAAGGAAGAAATCAAAAGAAAGAACAGTTCATTTGTACTCTGAAAGTGCAAATGTTTTGAGGTTAAACGAAGGTTGAGCTGGTGGATTAATGGCTCCAGCTCCTAGAGATAGAGACGGGTTTAAAAGCCCATCAATTTCAGACCTAGATACACCATCATGTTTTATGGCTACAAACTCCATCTTCACCATATCAAGATATAACAAACTCCATCTTCACCATATCAAGGTATAACAAACTCCATCTTCACCATATCAAGATATAACAAACTCCATCTTCACCATATCAAGATATAACAAACTCCATCTTCACCATATCAAGATATAACAAACTTCATCTTCACCATATCAAGATATAACAAACTTCATCTTCACCATATTAAGATATAACAAACTCCATCTTCACCATATTAAGATATAACAAACTTCATCTTCACCATATCAAGATATAACAAACTCCATCTTCACCATATCAAGATATAACAAACTCCATCTTCACCATATTAAGATATAACAAACTTCATCTTCACCATATTAAGATATAACAAACTTCATCTTCACCATATCAAGATATAACAAACTCCATCTTCACCATATCAAGATATAACAAACTCCATCTTCACCATATCAAGATATAACAAACTCCATCCTAAAATGTCATGTTTCACGGCTACACACAACGCATCTTCTCAAACTCAAGAACTTACAAAGTTCATCTTCACAATTTTATGTTTCTTGTCTACACACAACGTATCTCACCATATCAAGATATTAGGCCTACAAACTTCATTTACAAACTACATGATGATAACGGAGACACTGATAGCATCAATTTTTAGTCAGACGTCTGTGGTTCCTGCAATTCCACTAAAACTAAGCGTTATATAACATCACCAATCGCAAATATATGCTTGTATGACATAAGGCTCTATATGTTATTTAGAAAACCTCTGTACAATCCCTTTAATTCTACCTAAAAAATAAAGTGGACTGTTTGGATTTATGTTTGGAATTGTACCTGGAAATGCATAAACATTTTTGCTTGACAATCCTTATTCTACGAAAAGCCACCAATCTAGCAAAAACGAATCTTTATTTAATTATATGTACTTCATGTCTTCGAAGGAAACAAATCACGTGTTACACAATCCATATTGACCACTCGCTGTCAATCATTGTTATCTTGGTTTAAAAATATCTTTATTACAAAGTAATCATGCTGTGTTCGATTTTAAAAACTCCATATAATTTGCTTGTAATTATATGTTCTTAAAGCTACCATGTTGTTATAAAAAAAGGACTCAATACAATTCGCTTGTAAGTACATGTTCTTAAAACTACCATGTTGTTATAAAAAAAAAAGGACTCAATACAATTCGCTTGTAAGTACATGTTCTTAAAGCTACCATGCTGTTATAAAAATAGATTCCATTGTTTGTCAGTCTGCGATATCAGTAAACTGGAAGCGGAAGTTAATTTGTCATCTACCAACCAATTTCCTTGTAATAACATGTTCTTAAAGCTGTCATGCTGTTATAAAAATAGAACTCAATACAATTTGCTTATATTTTGCTTAAACTTTTTTAAAGCTACCATTCTACGTATACCAAACCTGGCAATAAATGAGATTGGTAATGTCTTGAATAGAACTCGATACCTGTTCTTGACAATTCTTAAAGCTGTTTTTAAAGCTAACGTAACGTATAACAAAAAAAACTTGAGATATAGCCTTTTTATTATGCAGATAACGTTTCACTTTTCTGTTTTAACATCCGACGCCCCGTTGCCCTACAATTCATCAAAAAGGGTAAAGTTGAGGTCTAGGTAGTTGTTGGTAGATGACAAGATTACGTTCGCTTCCAGAGTATGCTGATATCACAAATTAGGTAGTTGTTGGTAGTCGTAGTAGTTGGTAGTTGGATTGGTTCAAATTGAATGATTCGGTGTTGTTGGTTTCGTTGTTGATTCTTCGTTAGATCTGGTCGGGTCTAAGATGTGTTGTCACTTTGTACACCTACGATGTATCTAACTGATCTCCCACGTAAAAGGAACATGAATCGAAGGATAAGTTTTAAAATAAATCAAAAATAGATGACAACCATTGAAAATCTATTTTCATTTTTTCACCCAAATCTAAAAAAATTGTCCAATAAATTTAAATTTCGAGATCATCATTATAACGTTTTTTTGTCATTTTTTTCCACATAAAACTCATTATTCATTTTTCTCAGAATTATACTCCATCGATTTTGCATTCTTTTTGCACTTTCAAAATTTCAATTTTCCCACTTTTTGTCATTTTTTTATATTTTATAGCTGTCATTTTTGTTATTTTTCATAACTTTCAAATTTATTATCTTGCATTTTTGTCACTTCTGTTTTAACTTTTTTCAAAATTTTACATATTTCACAAATCTTTCTCATAAAACATGGATTATACACCCTTTTTTCTATTTTTCAGAATAAAGCACAACATTTATGAAGTTAATAACCAAAAGCAGAAGAAATAAATCAAAATTCTAATAAACCAATTTGAATCTGCATTCTCATATTTTTTGAGCAAAACTTTCGTGGCGCCGAGAGCCTGGATATTAGTATCATCATCTATAATTTGGTCATAATAGTATTTTAAAAATCTAGGAGTTTAGATAACATTTTCACAGTGGCGTTTCTAGGAGAAACTAGTTTAAGGGGCCGAGCAGGGGCCACAAATTTTCTGGGACCTTTAATGCAAGTAGGCTTTACGATTAGTTCCGTCATCAAACATTTAGTTCAAGTGGGTGTGAAGGAACAACAAACGTCTGACTGAAAATTGGAATGCTACAAATCAGTGTCGACAAAACACATAAAAAGTTTATAAAATTGTTTCACAATCCCTTTAAGTAAGCTCTACTTTATGTAAAAAAAAGTCGAAAAAAAAATCGGTAGACATCATCAGTCACGTTTTCTGCAGTTGGAGTGTACAAGAAAACAGAACACAAGGAAAACAGATGAAACAAATTACTGGAGGAAGAGAGATGATCACGTCTGAAATCCTTTTCAAGTTTGCTGAACAAAACCTTTTTATGGGATGTATTGACAAATAACATATTTATTTATCTCTAGCGCTTCAAATTGATACATTCATCTTCTTCGACAAGGTTTCATCAATTATTTGAACAATAAACGTTTTAAAACTTTGAAGTGCTATTTTCTGTTCTTTTGTTTAACTTTCTATTAATTTCACAAAGGTTCAACTTCAAATGAGAAGAAGGCTGAAAATAGGTCAGTTGTCTGAAGATCGCATAGCGTGAAACTCTGAATAACAACAGTTTTGTTTGAACATTCTATGTTACTTTTGCTAGCTCGCATGCAAAGACCAATGATCCACCTTGTTGTCGTATGCTGTCATTGCTAGCAAACTTAAAAACGACGTTGGCGTATGTTATTTTTGCAGGCACGCAAACTTTTAAAAAAATTATTCATCATGTTGGCGTATGTTATTTTTGCTAGCACCTCTGTGTTGGTGTATTTTATATGCTTACTAGCACAAGCAGTATAAACCTCTCTACTGGTGTATATAATGTTTACTAGCACGCAAACGTCTAAAAAAAAACTATTATCCACTATGTTGTCGTATGTTTTGTTGCTAGCACGTTTATACAAAACTCTATAAACCCGTGTTTTTATAATATGTTCACTAGCACACAAATTTTTAAAAAAAACTATTAGCGACACGCAAGCAAAAAATAATTCTTCATTGTGTCACGCACACAAAAAACAATGATGTTGTCGTATGTCATTATTGCTGGCATGTTTTTTTTTGTCAAAATGTTAACTAGCACACAAATTTTTTTAAAAAATGCACCATTATGTTGGCGTATGTTATTGTATGTTACGTGAACTAGCATGCAAGCTTAAATCCAGTATGTTGACGTATGTTACATTTGCTAGAACGTATGAACAAAAACACTATACACCTCTATGTCGTCGTACGTTATTTTTGCCGGCATGCATACTTCAAAAGAACATGGAGACGTGAAAAAGATTGAGATTATCAATTAGTAATGATGTTTTGCTTGTAAGAAAACCCACTCGGAGCAAAATAAATCTTTTAAGACAATCGTTTCAGTCATGCAACTGCTATGCACGTGTTGAGCAATGTGAATTCTGTTAAGTGCATACAGTTTTTGCTCACGCTCTCCGAACATCTGACGCTACCACGGGGGTTTGTTTGTCAACTCGATATTCATATTAGAGAGACCACAAAGGTTTGTCAACTTGACATTCCATTCAGAGAGTCCACATAGCTAATAACATGTATATCTATTTTGCTTAATAGATTAGTCCATATTGCTAATTCCTTTTATTTTGGTATTTAGATTTGTCAGCCTGAAATCTCGAGCTACATCGCTAATTATTTGGCATATAAGTTGGTCAACTCGAAATTCCATTCAGAGAGTCAACATAGCTAATGTATATTTCGTATCTTGGTTTGTAAACTCAGCACCCTTTTCAGAGAGTTCACATAGCTAATTATTCTTATTTGATATTTTGGTTTGTCAAGCTGACATTCCATTCAGGGAGTCCATAATTCTAATAATGTCCGTTTGGAGTTTGATTTTGTCAAAGCGACATCGAAAAAATGGCAGTTTTTCTATGTCAAACCGTCTTTGAAAAAACATACCTGGGGACCTATTCATTTTATAATTGAATTTTAAATAAGCTATCAATCAAACTATGAACACGAAGGGAGAGACTCCACGTGAATCTATTATCAACAACTTGTAAATGGTAACGTACCAGAAGCCAGTTGTTAGAAACATGGATAAAAGACATGCGAATTTCTTGTGTGTTAATGAAAATAATAAACTATTTATTTTACATGAGTTGAATTGAGTCCTTTACACCTACGTGGCATGGTCCTGTTTAATATTATTCAACCCATGGAGACAAACATAGACTCCTTAGGTTACATTGGTCAGATGTAGGTCCAATACACAAGGACATGGTCCTGTCTAACATTCAATCCATTGGTAAAACATAGACTATTTAGTTTACATGTGTCAGAGTTAGGTCCAATACACATGGACCTGTCTAATATCAGCCCATGGGGACAATACATTGAATGACAGGAACAAATTAAATAGCTAGCTTGGTACAGTGGTTGAAAGTTTCCCTGGCTTGGGTCAGGATGGTATAGGCTAATACAATGCCTTCTTGTCAGCGATTGTTTTGGGGTTTTGTTTTCGGGTTTTGTATTTGTTTTTAAGGTTTTTTTTTGAAGTTTCGATTTTTTTCTGTGAGTAACTAATGCCTAGTCTTGGTACAGTGGCAGTTCCCCCTTTTTCGGTCAAAATACAATGCTTAATAGCTAGCAGATAGCGTTTAGGGGTTACTGGTCACTACGGGGAGATCTTTAACGTACACAGCCTGCATCACACGAAGCCATCCGAACAACCAGACATTCTTGTGCGGTCTGGGGCATGAAGTGTGGGCTTTAACGAGTCTCACGAGATAATACCTTTCCGATAACCGACCGTAGCATTTAATCAATTTTTCATGGAATAATCAGAGATTGCCGATCTCTAAAAGATCGATCTCGTCGCCTGGTGACATTTCTATTTCCGGTCGGAATGTCACACATAAACAACAAAATGCCAGACGTAATTTTATTTCAAGGTCTCGTCTACATAAAAATGATGTATTAATTCATACATGCGACATTTACGCGTTAAGGTTGCCTGCTTTACGTGACTGTTTTAAGAGACTACTTCGACTACTTAAGGTTGCCTGCTTTGGGAACTACTTCGTACGAGACATTTCTGCGCTAAAGATGCCTGTTTTTGTGTCCTACGTGATACAAGGTCAAGAGGTAAATTCATTGGTCAGCTATTTTTAGTAACAAAAATGGTTATGACGACGTAATCGGGGTGTCCAAAAACATGCAATATGGTGAGCTTATGTGAGCTTAAATCAACTAACCTTACCTTCATTTGATACTCAAAAAGAAATTTAAACCAATACGCATGTCATAACCACAAAGCGAAATCAATGTCGAATGTCACTGGCAAAGATATTAGAACAAGTTCATTTTATTTTCAAAGATTTAAACATCATGTAAAACTGGGAATTATGAACATTGTGTAACGACTTAGCGTCTGTTACAAATGTTATATTATTATTTATGAAATTCCAACATGATCATATACCTATGGTTATTAAGTATATTTCATAGTATATAATGAAATAAGAGAATTATTAACGTCTGATAGGTACTATAGTGTTAAGTCTTATAACTATTTAATATTTTACCAGCGAACGTAGTAAACTGCTGTTAGTCTAAGATTCAGCCACTTGCATGATCCAATCATAAATCACTCGACAGAATCTCGACAAGCACTTGGCGAAATTGAAAAGAATTGAACAACGCCAAGCAGTGGTCAATTAAAGATATTTTGACGGGTTGCTAGAAGAAATTAAGTGTACGTCCTAATTTTCTCTAGCTGACGAGACTAGTAAAAAATGGACTACGCCATAGAGTTGGCAAAAAGGATCACTTTAACAGTTTGCTAAAGGAAAATGAAATTGAATTTTACGTCTTAATTTTCTGTAGCCGAATATGCTAATAAAAAATACAATACCATGAAATGTGCCACGCGGGAAACTTTACCAAATCAACGGAATAAGCATTGCTCAATTCGATTTTCAAAAGTCTACAGCTTGTAGATCATAGGGTTATTATCTGACCCGAATGACTAGACACTTCTCCGTATTAGTCTCTCTCCTCCGACCTACGTCGCTCACAGACGGATACCGGGTCAAAAAGTATCGAAGGTATCATCTCCACCTATGACCTCACCGAACCCCCATACCCTCAATATATCGAGCAAGTTCAATTAAATCCCCTAATTATTCAAACGCTAAGAGGTAGCTTAATGAAACACCGATCCAGACAAATTAAGTGCGAATGATGAAATCAAACTTAATGTTGTTCTTATAATTAAATTACAAGGATTGAATTAATGATTTATACATTTGTATTCCTATGTAGAATTTCAATCGTCCACGCTCGCATGCAATTATGTCGAATAGGCATGATAATTGGACAATTGAAATGGAACTTCAATCTTTATCTACTTTAAATTCTAAACGTCTGTTGAGAATTAAAGGTAAATGAAATGGAATATTACACTTTTTATGCAAATAATTGAGTTAATGAAATGGAATGGGGGTTTAAATCCAACTATTCTGTATCTTATTCGATTGATGAAATGAAATAGAGTTTTAAATCCACCTATTCTGTATCTTATTCGATTGATGAAATGAAATAGAGTTTTAAATCCAATTATTCTGTATCTTATTCGAGTGATGAAATGAAATAGAGTTTTAAATCCACCTATTCTGTATCTTATTCGATTGATGAAATGAAATAGAGTTTTATATTCTACTGTTTTGTATCTTATTGGTCTAATGAAATGAAATAGAGTTTTATGTCCTACTGTTCTGTATCTTATTGGTCTAATGAAATGAAATATAGTTTTATATCCTACTGTTCTGTATTTTATTGGACTAATGAAATGAAATAGAGTTTTATATCCTACTGTTCTGTATCTTATTAGACTAATGAAATGAAATAGAGTTCAATATTCTACTGTTCTGTATCTTATTGGTCTAATGAAATGAAATAGAGTTTTATATCCTATTGTTCTGTAACTTATTGAGCTAATGAAATGAAATATAATTTAATTTCATTCTGTTGAGATTATGAGATGAAATGACATAGATTTTTCCATTTACTTTCAGTATTTTACTGGGCTAATGAAGTAAAATAGGGGTTTTATGTCCTTCTGTAACTTATTAGGAAAATGAACTAATATAGAGTTTTATATCCTACTGTTCTATACCGTATTGGACTAATGAAATGAAATGGAGTTTTATATCCTACTGTTCTGTATCTTATTGGACTAATGAAATGACTAATGAAATGAAATAGAGTTTTATATCCTACTGTTCTATACCGTATTGGACTAATGAAATGAAATAGAGTTTATGTCTTACGTTTTGAACCTGAATATTGAATATTAAACAGGACAATGTCCTTGTGTAATGGACCTATCTCTGACCCATGTAAGTTTCTTATCATGTACGTTTATTATCATTATTCATGCAAAATGAAAGTGAACTATCAGACGACATAAATAATAAGACTCTTAATGTATTGAGTGGGAAACAACTTTTTCTCCGGAACTAAATCTATCAAAGGGCTGGTTTTTCGCTTGGAGCATGGTTTATTTAAGGCTGAAACGGAAATATTATTTCTCACAACATAAATCGTTAAAGTACGATGTGATCAGAAGAATGCAATAGCCGATATTCTTGTATCAAGGAAGTTTGCAGTTTTTGACTGAAAGTATATAAACAATAAACCATCATGTTTCCAGTTTTTATGGTTCTGATTGGCTGCATTCGCTGGCATACAAACAAATCAAATCGCCGTATTCCGTGATAAAAGATGAGTATTGTAGTCAAGGTATTAGACGCCTGGGGGCAACATCTTAAATTAAGCTTTCTGATATGAGAAATATACCAAATAAACAATATCCGTTATGTGGAATCTCCGGAAGAGATGCCCGGTTACACAATGGCACCAGGCATTACGCGTGAGAAGATGGAATATTTTTCTTCAGAACACAATCGACTTAATCATAAACTTAAAATCATTATTGTTAGTGGCTGCAGGCATCAATTTTTAAATCACATTTCTTTGACAGAAAAAAGAAAAATTTTGGACTTAACTATAAGCCGTCGCCTACAATAGCTTATTTTTATGAGTCACTGCAGGCAAGAAACTTAAAATTAGGTCTTGTTTACACTGAGGACACTTCTGAATGACTTATAATGATTACTATATAGACTCGTTCGTCTAAAACATTATCTCTGAATTCAAAGCATTTGGTACTTATTGCTGCAGGCAAACGTTGTTTTCATTCAAATGTTCCGAAAAAAAAAAGTTCTTGGAACGACAAGGCCAATTGTTATTCCGAGTCGTAAAGATATACCATTTATCTCTAATGTCTGTAATTGTCGCTTCATGATGAAACCAAGAGACGGACTGCTGTATAATTTAATGCCAGTTTAATACGATTTAAAAACCAGAAGCCTTGGACGTTTCCACTTAAACTAATAATTAAACAAGTTGAAAGGATAAGGTTCTGTCTAGATTCCAGTAGTATTGTACCAAATAACTGTGATTGTATCAAACTTAAGCCTTGGTAATTACACGCTAGTGTCTTTCTATTAATCTACCGTATCATTTACTTCATTAGATCTCAAAAGCGGTTACTGGCAAGTTGCGAGTCGACTATTGTAAAAACAAGACAATCATATTAGCTGTCACTTGAATGGTTCTGTATGGTTGACGTTACTAAGGGTAATCTTATTAACTCTCTTAAAGGGATTGTAAAGAAGTTTTAACTTTTAATGTGTATCCGCATGCTGAACGCATCCTGCGATTTACACCATTCCAATTTTAAGTGTGACGTTTGTGGTTCTGGCAATTTCACTAAAACTAAACGATAATGACATCATTATTGCAAAGGTTCTAAGACAATATTAGACGTAAAACTCCATTTATTTCATTTCATTTCTAAGATAAAATAAGTATCTCAAGCATCTTAAAATGATAAGTGAAGTGGAATTGCAAATCGCAGACGTCTGATTGAAAATTGGCACATGCAAATTGATGCAATACGTGTTCCTGATAAAGATTATAGTTATAACTTGTTAAAAATCCCTTTAAATCCGAGTAATTTCAATGTCCTGATATGTGGCTATTTATTATTGATGTAGAAATTTAATAAACAAGCTAATGTTATTAATTTAGACTAGAAAGCAGTCAATATAATTATGAGTAATAAGATTATATAGATGATATTAGCCGACATCGGGACGACTCTCGCCCACCATGGTATCAGGTGTTAATGAATAATAACAATTACAGTACGGTTTTTGCATCTCATTGGGCTAATGAAAACAGATGATGGGGAGAACTTTTTTCAAGAATATTAGCCCTATTTTTTCTATTATTGTCGACGTGTCTATAGCACAGTCTATAGCACCCTGTTGAATTCATCCGTACAATAAGACGCTTTTCTGATCTCCCCTTCCTCAAACACTGACAGAGAGAAACAGGTCATTATTAACTTTGAATCAGTTCAATAAACTAGAAGGAGATTAGAGATTAGAGTACGATTTAATCAAGTTATTGGATATTAAAAGGATAATAATTCTTTTAACTAGGTGATAGAACTCCATAAACCGTTTTAATCTATAATTCCACAAAGCAACAATTTTTTCTGTGTTCTCCTTCGTACTCAATAAACCTGTTGTCTTATCTCTTATAGTTGGGTTTCCTAATTTTTTAGTGTCAAATTAAGCAAATTAACTATTCGATTAATTCTGGATAAACATGAAAAGACTTTTTGACCTATCTTTATCGGTCACTCATTGGAATTCTGCTGGAAATTTTCTTCTTATTTAGCTAATCATGAATTAATTATGAGACAAATTTTTCCAAAGTCATAAGAACACCCCTACTTTCTATACATATAAGTATTAGCATTTTCATTTTCATAAATGAAAAGAAGGGAACCTATCTTTAAAGGAATAATAAAACTCTTAGATTAAATACAGATTAAAATTTTGCACAAACTTGATTAATAAAACACTCATCAGTGAACAAACTGTTTTAATACAATAATACCACAAAGCAAAAAGTCGTTTGTGTGCTTATGTACTTAAATCATTTCATTAAAATTCTTGTTGATCTCAAAGCAAAATGCTTTTTAACGTACTCTATCCAATATAGTTGTTAATATGTTCTCTCAACTTGGTCAGTGACATTCCATTTTGATCTGTTTAGCGGTTAAGACTTAAAATCTTATTAATGTGTCAGAAAAGTTGACGACCGTTCAATTTTTCTTGTCGTTATTAACATACAACTAAGTCAATATTGCCAATTCTATGACGTCATTGGTGGATGATATCTGCATGGAAGATTTTTACGCAACAGTTAGATATCTGTAGGTTTTACGGTGTACCGACAGCTGCTCACCAAACAAATAGGACAATTGACCAAATCACACATTTAATGTTTAAAGATGAGCTAAATTAGAAGAGAATTACCAGCAGAATTCCAATGAGTGACCGATCAAGAAAGGTCAAAAAGTCTTTATTTTTTGTTTATCCAGACTGTACATACATGGACATTTATGATTGGTTATATGCAATAAGAACATAATGATATGATTAAGAAGACATGATAATTCATTAAATAACACCAATTAATCAAATAGCTTACATAATTGACCCATTTTATGGATCGGTTTTAAGCGAAAAAAAAACAAAATAGTTAAGCACTGCTTCGGAACCATGCGAAGCTCGTGGATCTAGTATTATTACTCTTCAATTAATATGAAAATAATAACAAGGCTAGTGATATAGGGTTGATTACTTACGTTTGTAGTAAATGATTCTGACTTCTCGTTGAGAGATCTAAATAGGGTCGATCGACAATTGATGGACACCAACACGTTTCTTTATCAAAAAGAAAACCATCATTATTTTGCAGATAATGGCATCTTGACATGCAATCTTGTTTTTCGCCTGTATACGAGTTTTTTGTGTGCCTGTAAGAATGTATGAGCTCTATAAAAACGTTTAGTCGAGAGAAAAAAAGTAGAAATGAAATGAAACGAAATCGAGTTTTACGTCCTTATTTTTCAAGTATAACAATAACTATTCACAAAGGATCCTTTCTACTGGCTGGTCCTTGATCAAAATCTTTTACTTTTCTTTATATTCATTCAGGCTATATTCTCTTGGGCGAAAATCATTTCAGGGAAAACATAAGAGAAAGTTATGAAGGATTTATAAGGGAAAGGGCGATAATGCAGTTGATCAAGTATCAAGTATATCTTCTTTAACTTGATATGTTGAATTTCGATAAAAGTAATAATATATTTCGATAGTATTTCGACAAAGCCTTCAAATCACATTTAAAGCCATTTCTAACACTTTAAGTGTCATTTGAAGGCAAAGTTGAAATGTTATACCTTTTATTCGACGTATTAAGTCGAGAATGAGATTCAAAATGGCCGAAAACTTCGTTCCTGTGTGTTATTTCTGTTACCCGCCTATTTAATTTCAATAACAAATTGAAATGGCGAGTTATTATACAAAGAAAGGATATGCCTTCATTTATCTCTATTCTTGAACTTTTTATCTAATCTTAATACATAAGTAATCTAAAAGATAGCGTGACGCGGTCTATTTTCTGGAATGGGAATAACAGAAAAAGAGAAAGAAAGACACCAGCATTTTTTCAAGGATAACAACCTTGTGGACGTCATGTGATGATTCCAACGCTCTAACCGACTGACCTACAGTCCGCTGAAGTAAAATGGAGAGAACATGTAATTAAAAGGATAACAACCTTTTGTTCGAAGTAAGTAATCAAATGACGTCATGTAGTGATTCCACGCTCTAACCGACTGAACTACGCATCATCCTAAACCTGAGATAAGCAGTGTAAAATACGGCCATTTTTAGGTCGGGGAGGGGGTGAATGAAAGCCGTTAACATCAATTTCCTTTCAATTTTCGATTAAGAATTATTAACACTGATTATATTATCAAATAAGGAACAGAAAGGTAGTCGTAAAAATCAAATAAAATACCCAATAAAGCTGCAGTAGTTGAAAGTAGTGCTTACAATTAAATCAGAAACTGCAAATCCTTCTATTTCCTCCAAAAGGCCCGAAAGTAAGCCGTAAAACATATGTTATTACCCAGTTAAGTATAGAATATGGCGACGTAAAACTCTATTTTAAGATAAAATGGACGAAAAAAAGCATCGCATTTCCAATCTTTTAATCGTGTTTTCTTATACAACACATGATCACGAATTTCACCATTTACGACCACTTTTATCTCTTTACTCGCCTGATTACCAAACTACTCCGATCAGTGTAATCGATAATCTATACACTTTGATCACTAGCAGTCGGTAATGTAGCCCAAGGGCAGATAACCACACTAATCTGTAATGACTGTAGATATTATCTCCCTTGATTCTATATAACTCTGTTCACTCATCACTCTGTCCCTTTTATAATTGAGAGTAGTAAATGATCACCATAGTTGCACTGGGATTGTGAGTGATAAACCATCTTTTGCGTTGAATTGGTATTGTTCTTTGACCAGAAATTTTAGGAAATGATTATCCAGTTGGGTAAGTAAAGATTTCCGTGGCCTTTAACTCTACTTCTCGATTTACGGGGGTGGGGATGCGATAGTGTGGAGAGATTTTTCAAAATTCTATTTTTTTAGGTTTATGTGTTTGTGTGGTCGTGCTTCTCGACCGATCTGAAGCAGCATACCGATGTAACGGGGAGTCAGATCGAACCAATAACTGTCAAGATTACATCTTAAGGTGCGAAGACGACTTTAGAATGTTTAGAGCGTTCACAACCACTCGAACCTGTCCAGGAGATCTATTTTTTAGCGATTTGTATGGCAGATGTATCGACCCAGCAACTTTAAATTACGCATGTCCAAGTAAGTAATATTTTTTTATTTGAAAGTGCTCAATGTGTGCATACTCTTGGGCTTCCCCTTTTTCAGCTCTGAAGAACTGCAGACCGTTGAAGTTTAAGCGCCCTTTAATCCATCAGGTTGCAGACTTGAAGCCAAATTATCTCCCTTGTTTATATATTTCGAGCAATATTACGATTGGAATGTCAGTCAGCTTATTGAAAGGCAAGTTTGAGATCTAAGCCATGACTCTACATTTGGTCTATCTGCAACAAATGTTCGACATGCTCTACTTTCAATGCATTTTTTTTCTTGTAGACACCGAAGGAGGAGGGAGCTCACTCGATTCATCGATTTCCAGTGTGGATAGTGACGTCAGTGTGGATAGTGATGTCAGTGTGGATAGTGATGCCAGTGTGGATAGTGACGTCAGTATGGATAGTAACGCGAGTGTAGATAGTAACGCCAGCGTAGATAGTGACGCCAGCGTGGATAGTGACGTCAGTAGTGATAGTGACGTCAGTAGCGATAGTGACGTCAGTGATGATTAAAGCGACTGGTTAAGAAAATGAAAGTTTTTAAAGGGAATTAGTGTTAAGGTGTAACAAAATTTATTTTAAGGGGTTGTTCGTACATCCGACATTTTTTCACAAAAAAACACTATTGTTTTTCTAATTTGAAATTTCAATATTTCGCCATAATGCAAAGTTACAAACCGAACTTATATTTTCAAATGTTTCTTCATTAAAGCAGTGTATGTTTTATATTAAATAAAAGAATTTCTCCTTATTTTTATTCATTCATACTTGTAATTTGCCCTTGACATTTATTTGAGATCGTCCTTGACCCCTTCCCAACGTTCAAATGTTGCAAGAAAGTCTATGTTTTCTTTTTACGAGATCGAAGTATATCTCTTCACTCAGAGCATTTATTTTCACTTCAAAATAAGATATATCACATGCCTGAGGGAGGGGGCAAAACCTAATAGCTCCCCACACTCTAAATACTGTAGTGATTCCCTGAAGTCTTGAGCATCCATGTTACTATTTTAGAGGAGCGACTTTGAGCTGGAAAAGACTAATTGCTTCTCGAAGAATGGCAGACATGATAAGTTTAAAGATTGAAACAAAGGAGGAACATGTTGGAAGGTTTCATGGAAGGGGATGCTGCATTTGATAGAAACACGGAAGACTAAATAGTTAACCTTATAAGGAATATACAGTTCCGTCAGCAAGACTAATCCTATATTCGGTGTTCGAACGAGCATGTGTAATATAGAGTTGAGCCATCAAGTACTGAACTCAATCACCAAATGACTGTTGATGACCGATAGGACAAACGGTGGGTGAAATTTGCCCTTAACATAGAAACATATAAGCCACATCCAATTCAATCTGTAAGAAACAGGGTGCAAAAAAACACTTCCTCACTAATTTCAATGAAAATTCCTCTACCCATCAGTATGAATCCACTCCTTAAACAGATTTTGAATTGTTCAATAAAAGAAGAAAATCGTCTCGTAGCCAGTGCCTGTCTATATTACGCATGGTTTTGATTATTACCAAGAAGAGGGGATTGGACTAGAAGATACATCAGGGGCTGTTTTCTCAAAAGCTTAGTGTTCCACTCATCTGATCTGCCAATCACTACAATCGATTTCAAATTTAGGATCACCAGATTGCTGTAAATCTTAGATCTTGACTCCATCTTAGTTAACTTTTCGAGAATATCGGAAAAACAGGACATCGTTTTGGTTAAATTTTCGTTAACAAGGCCCTACTTATACCAGACAAAATTGCTATTGTCGGATAACAGGTGGGCATAACGGAATATTAAACCCACCGTCTTGGCCTATAGGATATTAACATATAGGATGATTTTAGATTAAATGACGGAAACTGATTCAACCAAGGTCTTCCACGACAAGGAGAAGCATCCGTATCTTCCGTACAGATTTGGTAACCTTCGACAATTTCCGTGAATTGGACTCTTCAGCTTTACATTGAAATGACGCCATAACGGTTTTCTAATGCGGACGTATAACACATCCTGGTGTTATGATTGGTTGTAAAGTGGGTCAGCAATATGGCGACGATAAATTCAAGTCATTAAAGGATTGGGGAAGACTTTGAGCTTGTAAATTTGACCTGAATCACCTCCAGAAGTCCTAATGCAAGCCTCATCGTGACTATATAAGACTCAAACCTCCTAATCACTCTTCAAACTTAATGAGAACTTTAAAATCAGTAACGTGACATTGCAACGTCGTTTTTTCGTTTCGGAATTCGTTCTGTGAATTTTTGAAAATTTGTAAGTGATTTGAAACATCGACCTTGTGCTTTTCGTTTGGAAAAATTTCGCAAAAAAGTTTAAACTTGGGAAAATTAGCGGCCAACATCAATTCCGCTTTTCAATTGATTTTCGAAAAAATTGCAAGAGAAGAATCGAAAAATTAGTAATGTTTGATTGATTTCCGAAAAAAATTTCAGTATATAACATTAAAATTGGGACACAAATTAAAGATTTTACAATAATATTCTTCTAAAAAAAGGCGGAATAATTTCAAAGATCCTAAATTCTGCAGTGCATTTTCATTCCAACGACAAACCAAGAAGCACCAAACCGGACCGTCTTCCTAAAAGAAATTGCGATCAATCCGAAAACACAAGACAAAATTTGAGAAAAATATTTAGAAGTGGAACAAATCCAAGATGGAGACAAGAATTCATTTATTGTGTTGTATAATCGTACAGGTTAGTGAACTTTGATTCAATTTTATTCTTGTTATAAATTTCTGAATTCTGGGTGTTCATCGCCCGTTGTTGATCACAAAAGTTGTTACCTTGATTAGATTATATGCGGAGGTTCGAAACTTACTGAAGGTAAGACAATTTCCAATGCCATGATCAATGCTTCCGAGAGTTGACTTAATGTCGACGTCTAAACCCTACCACAATACATGCATTTCATTCTGTTCGTGTACGATCGATAAATTTTGACAATTTGCAGAAAGATTATAAACACTGCTCTGATAAAAATGGAATGAAGTAAAAGTAAATGAATTCTAAGCCAAACAGATCTAAATATCGTGATATAAACAGAAGCAATTTCCACTCAATGGCGGAGCCAAAGTGAGGAGGGGGGGGGGGGGATCTCATAACTAGGTTAGAAATTCGGGCAATCTCAGATAATTCGCCCACCTCCCACACCCTCCTCGACGTAAACCTGGCTCTGCCACAATCTCCATTCCGGGTCAACTCAAAAAAGTTTCAATTTTTACATATGGAGTTTTCTCGACAACAGGTCTATCTACAATCTAGGTCTATCTTTGTATGAGACAATAGAACAACCGCTGACCTCGTTTTAAAATCTGCAGAGGTTGCAATTATTTCACACATATTGGACAATACAGAAAAAATAAATGTGGCACACATACAAATCGCTATTTGCTATACTATTGTAGGATAGTGAAAATAGTAGTACAAATTTACTATTTAGTGGAGTACATATGTACTTATTCTATAGTAGGCGATTAGGTGCTGGGGGGATCGAATCCTTACACACATCAAATGTACTATTTTCAAGTATACCTGGTGCACTATAGTAAGATATTGAATGATAAAGTGCTTGGGGTTCGAATCCCGAGAAATAACTCCACATATGCGACACACATATACATAGTACAGTAAAATATCAAGCGATTAGGTGCCGTGGGTTCGAATCCATAAATTAGATTTGATGCAACACATTTGAATATAAACTTAAATGGATTGAAATTTTATGACCTGCCAGACGTGTAGAATATGACTGGAGTCAAGAAGGCGATCATAAATCTTGACGAATCTTCGCAAATAGTTGTCTTTCTCGACAAGTTTAATATTCCACAGAGAATGGGGCAGTAAATTGAAAAATAAATTGATTAAAGTTGTAGATTGAACGACATGACGTTTTGAAAATGAAATATAGAACAGTAGTTTGTCCCCGAGTGACTTCAAACTAATAGAATTTCTTGACGAATATTAAAAGTGTCTTGTTGCTTAAAGATCTATATCTCTTTTGACGGAAAGTCGGTCTATACGATATCCTTTTTGTCAGCTGGATTTGATTTTATTCGGGCATCGAAATGTTTTTATATAATGATCCCGAATGTCCTAAACGTGACGGACTCGTTGAACTGTATGTGAGAAATTATGCCTATTTCTATTTCGGGAGGTACGTTTTATTTTATTGTACACGAATCGAATGCCATATCAAAGAATAGTACAGGTAGCTGAAATTTAACTCTATCCACTGCAAAAGCGCGCATTTAGATAACGATATCTTTTAAAGTCGATTGATCAGGAGAAATTTCTCTTTAAGTTCACATGAATTTAGATCACGAACTGGAATTCGATTCCAAAGAGAAAACGCTTCTGATAAATATCTCTCGAGTCAAATAACCAAACAAAACATTAGTTTTTTTCTTTTTTCAATTTAGTTGTAATCGCCTTGAGGAAATCACAGAATGACTCTAATTCATAACTATTATTGACTACCTGTCAAAAAAAAAGAATCAAATGTCTAGCCAAATACAATCAAATTTTAAGAAGAATACCTTCATATTATATAGAGCAATTTGACGATTCATTATTCTAAGCCCAAATCACAAGGAGAAAAACCATCATAATACTTAAAAATTTCACGAATCATTAGTTAAAGACCAAATCAGAAGGAGAAAACTGACCTGCACCTATCTAAATCACAATCCTTTATTCAAAGACCAAATCACAAAGACAAAACCTCGTTATATATCAATTTCGCGATCATTTAGTCAAAGTCCAAATCACAAGGAGAAAACTGAGCTGTACCCATCTAAATCACACTCTAAAGGCAAAGACCAAATCACAAGGAGAAAACTGAGCTGTACCCATCTAAATCACAATCTGTAGGCAAAGTCCAAATCACAAGGAGAAAACTGAGCTGTACCCATCTAAATCACAATCTAAAGGCAAAGACCAAATCACAAGGAGAAAACTGAGCTGTACCCATCTAAATCACAATCTAAAGGCAAAGACCAAATCACAAGGAGAAAACTGAGCTGTACCCATCTAAATCACAATCTTAAGGCAAAGACCAAATCACAAGGAGAAAACTGAGCTGTACCCATCTAAATCACAATCTGTAGGCAAAGTCCAAATCACAAGGAGAAAACTGAGCTGTACCCATCTAAATCACAATCTAAAGGCAAAGACCAAATCACAAGGAGAAAACTGACAAGTAAAAGTCTAAAGAAAAGACTTCTACAAAATTTATTGACTCAAAATTAGTTTAAGACAATGAAAATCAGTACGGCTAAAATTAAGCTCTATGGGCTGTAAAGCTTAATTTAACGAATATTAAGCTCTAAATTAAAAGATTTGATTTGCCTGGGTCACCATATTTCAATATTGAATTTTGTCAAATTTATTGACTAAAATAAGCTCTGAAATTAAGTTCTATGAGATGTAGAGCCTAATTAAACAAATATTAAGCTCTAAACTAAAATTTGACTTTCCTGGGTCACCAGATTTCAAAATAGAATTCTGTGTCAAATTTATTGACTAAAATAAGCTCTGAAATTAAGCGGTAAATCTTCATTTAAACACATTATAGCTCTAAACTTAGATATGTTCGACTTAATTGAGTTACGAGATTACGAAATGGCAGTATATTTCAAACAGTTTGACTTAAAATCAATTATCTTAATCAACCTTGGATCGTCTGCTTCATTTCAATTCAGAAAGTGACTTAATTTTTAAATCTAAAATAGGCAGGAGACTTAAATTGGAATCTTAATCAAATTCTTTTAAATCCTGAAAATGAGACACTTTGGAATCGGATGATTCGGTTAAAAAAGAAGCCCTTTATCAATATATATCATGGTTCCAGGCGTGTGGGAGAGACTTGCCTCATTTGATCTGGCTTTGTTTTTTCTACTAAAAGGGTAGACGAGTCGTCATTTTAACATTCAAACGCGGATAAATCGCACATTGATTTGAAGGCTCAAATTTCGACGGTGAGCTGTGAACACTATTACTGATTGGCTTAACTAAAAAAATTCCAGTTTCTGAGACTAAAGTAAGATTGGTAAGAACAAAATGGCGCACCTAACCAAAAATGCCATCACCCGGTAGACTTGGCAGAAACAGGATAAAGTCAAAAAAGACATGCCCCTTATCCATAAATGTCCTGGTTTTACGATGGTCAAAACAACTGTCATCTTGTAGCAGCAAACTTATACGGAATGGGGCCTGGGTATAGAGGAAATGATCCCCTTTCTTTTCGTTGCTTTACCAAGTCTAACTTTTAAAACTGGATCAATGGGTTGACTTTCATTCCACGGATTTAAAGGAATGCCGAAGTGAAAGAATTTTTCGTTTATTTCTTTCAGATAGTATTATGTATTACCAATGTAAATGGCGTACCGGAAGTCAAAAGAAAGCGCCCTCCGCCATTACGTCATCGCCTTGGTGACGAGAAAGAGACCAATCTTACAATTGATCAGATTATTACCCAGACGCTAGGAGGCGTTGACGGTAAGAATCAGCATATTTTCTTCAAAAGTCAAGTCAAAATTTTATCCCTATTGGACATTTAAAATATTGAAAAAATAGCAAAAGAAATATTGGACCTTTGAAATATTGCATAATTGACCGAATGGGATGAATGTTAGACAGGACCATGTTACTTTCGTGTATTGGACCCCAATTCTAACCCATGTAAAATAATTTATTATCTTTATAGAAATTTTTGATATCTTTTTTGATAATCCAGTTGCTGCCCAGAAGATGAGATCGCCAGGGGATAACATTCTCGCTGAATTGGACATGGTCTTAACACAGGAGCAGTTCATTTCTCTTTATACCCCGCCCTCCAAGTAAGTTTTCCTGCAAGGAATATCTCTTAGTTTGGCCAAAAATTTGAGATTTCTAAACTTGGGTTAAAATGAGTCTTTGTTCATTAGTGGACTTACCTGGTGTCTCAACCAAAAAATCACTCTATAATCCAATACATCCATTAAACTAAGTAATTTTGAAATAGATAAATGGTTTAATGGATATATCGTGTTATATAGAGATTCTATTATTAATCATCGCATCTGGTTGGCATCGGGTCCGTTCGTCCTATTACACCTTCGCCCTGGGTCCGTTCGCCTGGGTCTGTTCGCCATAAGTCCTTGTCCGTTCACCTCTATATTACATGACATATAAGTAATAAATGCGGAAGTGGTGACAATTAATCTGGTTAAGTCTAACTGATGAATATATACACTTGTTGTCCAAGTTTAAGACTGCAAATGTTATGTCCATTCTAAGAGGTAGTAATCTTTTAATCATCAGAAATGATGCAACCAAATAACAATACTTTTGTTTCCACATTCAAGTTTCTCATTAAAAGATATTCCAATCGCTGTTAACCGACATACTCTTTGGTCTGTGGTTTGAGCGTTTCTAGTCTCCATTATCCAGTAATGAATGTTTCGCTTCACAAGACAGTTCAAAAGAAAAACTGAAAGACGATCATTCGTTTAAAAGAAATCTTATTGAAATAAGATAACAATTTCGTATCTTTTTTGTTTGGAAAAAGACAATTCAAAAGAAAAACTGCAAAACGATCATGGGTTTAAACCAATCGAATTAAAACTAAATTATAATTTCGGATCTTTATAAATTTCCAGAAATATTTTGTCAACATTGTATCGGAAAGACTAAAAAATTATCAGAAAACGAAAAAGATCCGCAATTGTAACGGATTTGATTTGATTGTACACAGTAATCTTAAAAGTCGGTCCGATATCGTGAAAAAAACAAATAGTCGGGAGCTTCTATACGTTATTTCAACGTCACATTGCACAGGATCAAGTGATCGAGCGTTTTTAGGGAAAACTTTGACATTATGACGCCAAGTGATTTCTTTTAACATAAGGGCGAGATCGAAAAGAAACTTAATTCCAGTATGCGATACAAAAAGCATAGACAAGTATCTATTGCATGGAAATGTTGTATCATTCTGACTCAACAGAAGAAACATCACCTTAATGCTGTGTTCTAATGGTAGCTCACGATCTTGTCTCTTTTTAAAATAACTTTTTGATAATTGGAAGTGATTATTTGGCCCCACGTCGTGCTTTTCCTGAATACTTGATACACAAATGAATCATCCACGCAGAGAATTACGATTTTATGTGCTATTTCTATATTTTGATTGTACTTTTTAAGATGGTATAACCATCATTTTCGTAATAAATTCTAAGTACTATATTAATGGCTATTATTCTATGGGCTTCAAGATCCGTACTTGCCATTATAGTACATACTAATGTTTATTTGGTTTGTCAAATCGGTACCCTATCGGAGAGTCCACAGAGCTAAAAATGTTGTTTGGTATTAAGGTTTGTCAACTCAGCATCTCTTTCAGAGAGTCCACATAGAGTTTATGTGGTATTTTAGGTTTGTCATTATGGCATCTACTTCAGAGAATCCACAAGGTTAAATTGTCATTTATTCAATTATTTCAGCGACATCATGATGGGTGATCCTTCAACCCCAGACACCGGAAGTGAAACCAGAACGAAGAGAAAAGCAGTCAAGGATCCTGCTCTAAGATGGGCTAATAACGAAGTACCTTATAAATTTGCCTCACGACATTTTGGTAAGAATGATCTGCTTTGTCTGTCTTTAAAGAAGCACTCCCACTTAGTTTAAACCGCAAATTCAACAGTGGTCTTACGACATTCAGGTGTTCCACATCTTCCCCGTTCTCATAGAGGGTACACCTGTGAGAAAATATTCAGTAACTGATAACTGCTATACGCTGAGTGCCGAAGCTTCAAAGCGAAACGTATAAGTTTCGGCACATTTCATTTTCACTTTTTCTCACCTTCAATTTTATAAATAGTTCCTCAGGCTGCTATATAGTTTGACCGAGTAAGCTCTGATATTATATACCGCCAGGCGATGGATGGATACATAGAAACGTTTCTATTTAGTATGATGTAGAATACACTGAAGCTGTAAGACCTATGTGATAGAGGGATGCGTCGAAACGTTGCATATATAACCTTTGAACTTTGCTTCACTCCAGATGAAAAAGAACAATACATGATGAGACAAGCTATGACAGAATGGGAGAGATACACGTGTCTCAGATTTAGAAAGGCGACAAAAACTGATAGAAATGTTCTCCTGTTCCAGAATGGCGAAGGGTAAGATTTAACTAGGTCAAAGCACGTGCATAAATTAGAGATTCAGATACGCATAAATTACGAAAAAGTCTGGCGTGCGTATTGAAGAATACAAAATAGACACTTCACCTGAGTAATGTGGATAACGGAAAAACTGTCAACTAAAACATGCACGTGTATAGTATAGTAATGAACGTGCATTGATGAGATTGTCCTAAATTTCAGATGCAACTCTCAGCTCGGAATGGTCGGTGGATATCAAGTTTTAAATTTAGAAAACCCCGGATGTAGATATGTAAGTGAAATGATTCATCATTGTCCATCAAAAAAGTCGGTCATTTATTTGACATTTTTTAACCTTTGATTGGGCTCTCCCACATATCTGCTTTCCTATTGGCTACATGATATTATGTACTGGTTGTATTGAAAAGTTCAATTACTAAATTTATTTTCACTAATACCTATGCAAATTTATGCAAATTAATTCAAATTTATGTATTTCAGAAAGGATTATACCTTCACGAAGTGGGTCACGCGATAGGATTAGTGCACGAACATCAGCTTCCTACCCGAGACGACTACATCAAAATCCTGTACCACAACGTGGAACCCCAGATGAGAGTCTGGTTCAACAAATACTCCCCAGCTCGAGTCAGGACCGATAATGTTGAATATGAATATTCATCCGTCATGCATTATGGTATTACGGTAAGCTTCACTAATATTCATGATATGCTAATAAGAGGAAAGCACTCACTGCACAATGGCTCTGTTAGTAAAGCTCTCCCGTGTCCCGGGTTTGGGACAATCTGATGTGGAGGTTGAATATGAATATTCATCCGTCATGCATTATGGTATTACGGTAAGATTCATTAATATTCATGATATGCTAATAAGAGGAAAGTACTCACTGTTCAATGGCTCTGTGAGTAAAGCTCTTCATGAGTGTAACATGTTTGGGGACAATGTTATGTGGAGGTTGAATATGAATATTCATCCGCTATGCATTTTGGTATTACGGTAAATCGTTCGGCAATCCTCGGCAGTTTCCGTAAAGCTGAATCTGTTGCAGTGCGCTAGCGAAACTTTCACGGAGGCCGTTTGGAGTCGAATGTTACATCATCGTACTTAAATCTAAGTGCAGAAGTCAGCAAGATAAAAAAAAACTTGACATTTTCTATCGTAGACTTAAAAAATGAAGAAATCCTGCTTGTATTCCGTTGAGCTTTTATCGAAGACAATTCCAAAGAATACAAAATTATTATGATGAAACGACAGTTGGTCGACATTTTAAAAATGCCCCTTGGCGAGAAAGACAGAAAAGATATAGAGTGTTATATCACAACCTGTTTTCAAATAACGAACTAGGATGGCGTCATGCAGTGCGCAATGAGGAAGATTTGCCAGGATTGAAGCATTCGATTAATTACTTTTATTTGTGAGGATCTTTAAAGTACAAGTCCTTAAGCACGTAGAGCCCTTCTTATTTTAACATATCTTTAAGGTGCAAGGCGTCAGACGCCGCTGTTTTGCAATCGAACTGCCGAGTGTACATGACATGTATCACGTAGAACCAAAGGGAAGGACCGAAGCATTAACTTCCTTATTTCAGTGAAGGTGCAAGGCGTCAGACGCCACTGTTTTGCAATCGAACTGCCGAGTGTACACGACATGTAGCACGTAGAACCAAAGGGAAGGACCGAAGCATTAACTTCCTTATTTTAGTTAAGGTGCAAGGCGTCAGACCCCACTGTTTTGCAATCGAACTGCCGAGTGTACATGACATGTAGCACGTAGAACCAAAGGGAAGGACCGAAGCATTAACTTCCTTATTTCAGTGAAGGTGCACGGCGTCAGACCCCACTGTTTTGCAATCGAACTGCCGAGTGTACACGACATGTAGCACGTAGAACCAAAGGGAAGGACCGAAGCATTAACTTCCTTATTTTAGTTAAGGTGCAAGGCGTCAGACCCCACTGTTTTGCAATCGAACTGCCGAGTGTACATGACATGTAGCACTTAGAACCAAAGGGAAGGACCGAAGCATTAACTTCCTTATTTTAGTTAAGGTGCAAGGCGTCAGACCCCACTGTTTTGCAATCGAACTGCCGAGTGTACACGACATGTAGCACTTAGAACCAAAGGGAAGGACCGAAGCATTAACTTCCTTATTTTAGTGAAGGTGCAAGGCGTCAGACCCCACTGTTTTGCAATCGAACTGCCGAGTGTACATGACATGTAGCACGTAGAACCAAAGGGAAGGACCGAAGCATTAACTTCCTTATTTCAGTGAAGGTGCACGGAGTCAGACCCCACTGTATTGCCTTCGAACAGAAGACCTGTAGAATCCAAGAGAAGGGCCATGGAAATCAATTTTATGTCGGATTTCCATTTGTCCAGGGATATTTACTTGCTGTAGATCTTAAAATCGCAAGTGGGAACGAAACATTATAAGAGATAGGCCTCTTAAAAGACGAGACGACCTTGAAGTTAAATATTTTATATACATATATCAAATTACGTATATGGGTCTCAGAAATATAACGATTTAGTGACATAAATATTCAACGTTTCAATAATTTACATTGGCATCGCCAGATTATATGGCATACTATTCATGGGTGTTATAGCGCGCATCGTTTCAACCATTTACATTGCTATTAATTACTAAAAGAAATCAACGTTTCGACAATTTACAATACAAGTTACATTGTTATCAATTAACAAACACTTCTCTCTCTGCAAAAAACTTTCTTTGCCAATGTTTTTTTTATAAATTTCAATTCTGTTTCAGGCGTTTTCGAAAGATGGTAGCGCAAAGACTATAGAGGCCAAGTTTCCGTCACGAGAAGAAGAAATTGGAAGAGTGTTTCTAAAAGAGTTAGCTTTCTCCGACGTGAAAGCTGTCAACGATATGTATAACTGTGGTGGTAAGGATTCAAGATCATTTGTTCACATATGGGGCAATATGATATTAGACAACTTTATATTTGTGTGCATTGAGAACGAGCTGTAGCGCAGTTGGTTAGAGCGTCGAATCTTTACATGACGTCATTTGCATAGTTACGTCGAGAAAAAGGAGGTTGTTGGTTATAATCTTGGTCGGTGTGTGAAAGTCTGGTCTCTTTTCTGGCCCATTGTTCCATTTAAAATCATGCGAAAGCAAAGAAACTTCACTGCCAAGCGGTTTCTAACATATAAACTTGGATCACTATTTTTTCCAGAATTTTGTCCCAAAACAATTACGTGTAAAGATGGCGGCTATGTAGATCAGAATTGTAAATGTATCTGTCCGGATGGTACCTCCGATTGTCAGGAAGATTCCAACAGACCACAAGAAAAGGACGGTACGTAATCTTTATCAAAGATTCAAAAAATATCTTCTAGCTTGTGTATGTAAAAGTTGGATCATAATTATTTTTTGAAAATTTCGTGGTCAAGAAGTGGGCGGAGAGAGCTATTTGGGGGCCTAAATTTAGTTTGGCCTAGATTTCTCCGTTTGTTCCTTGAATATCTTTCTTCGTGCCGCTATTATTGAAATAGTAGGGCAAAAGGGACAATCAGAACAAAACTTGCAAGGCTATTATTGCGTACTGGTTGCGTGTAATAAAAATAATTCAGGGAGACGAAAAATAGGTTTGTTGTAATGTTTTTTACTTGCTTTTTAACCTATAAATGTAAATATCTTCAAGGGACATGAAGCGAAATCATGAAAATTAATTCATGTCTGTCTCAAGTAAAGAGCAGATCACGCTAGGTGAATTGAAAATAATGTTTTAAAGTGAAACCAGCGGTGTATTTAGGGGGTGGGCCATTGAGCCATGACCCCCTCCGCCTCGATACTGTTAAAGTTATCATTTTTTAAGTGAAAATTAAGCCCTCTAAATGTTCAAAACTCATTTAAGGCCATCTGAAATCCGTTGGCTTCGAATGGCCTCTGGCCTCGCCTCAGAAAGGTTTCACCATCCCCTTCAGGACGTTTACGTAACTAAAAACGGTTAATTGGTATTTTTTATTGAACTCATTTTTCGAGACGACGCACTCATCTTTTGATTGGGTGCCACCTGACATTTCAATGGCGACAAGCGAAAGTGGGATTTTGAAAGTTTTCTTCCATATTCGGCATGAAAGCCACGGGATTTGAATCCGATTTTGTCTGAAACTCACGATATTTGGTTGATTCTCGTTTAAGAGGTTTTTTTTCTCTCGGCGTCTCTACGAGTGGTCTGAGATTTCGGCTCGCCAATAGTAAAAAATATTCTTTTTTGAAAATAATGTTAATGCGTTTTTTTTTTCCTTAACATCTACGCTTTGATCTTTACGTGAGCGCCGTTGCGTTTCTAGGAAACATTAAGTGAGAGGAGCGAGCAGGGGCCACACAATTTCTCATGAGTTGAGGGCGTGAGGGGTGGGGGGTAGAGTGACACCGGCTGTGTTAAATGATAAAAATTTGAAAAGCATCTGGGACAGACGACAACATAAAATGGAGCCTCGTGAAACCGGAAGAGTTAGAATGCATTGTAAATTCATCGCAATTAATGAAAAATTAACATTAAAAATGTAAGGGATTTTCATTCGTCATGTTTTATTTTTTCATTTTCATTTTCAAACCACAAATGTTTGACATTTACGTGTAGGCCTGTGGTTAATGGCGGGAAATTTGATGCAAGCAGACGACATAAACTGGAGACTTGTGAATTATTTATCGCTGAATACAGACTGAAACTGGATCCAATTTGATCAATAAGAGATTAGACTGACAATAACCCATGAAGAACTGTGTGATATTAGATCGCTTTGTAACATTTTTGATATACTTGTTTTGATATGATTCTTACATAACGAGGTGCTTTAGGCCATGGATATGCCAAAAACTCATCCAGAAATATCATATACATGGGACCGTTTTGTAACATTTATAATATATTTATCTGTTTTCTTTGATCATCTCGATTGATAGGTGTAGGAACCCAACATTGAAAGAGAGTGGCTGCGAAAAATGACAAATTATTGGTTAGGGTTTCCTTCCTTATGAAAATCACAAATAATGAAAAGAAACGAAGCGAACATTGAGATTTACATTCAAACCTTAAAAATAGGTTTATGGGTAAAATTCTATTCCGTGATAAAAGAAAGGTGACTATTACAGTCAAGGTATAAGATGAAGTTCATAATAGCTTGACATTGTGATGATTTGATATTAGAAAGGTGATATTACAGTCAAGGTATAAGATGAAGTTCATAATAGCTTGACATTGTGATGATTTGATATTAGAAAGGTGATATTACAGTCAAGGTATTAGACGAAGTCATAATAGCTTGACATTGTGATGATTTGATATTAGAAATGTGATATTACAGTCAAGGTATAAGATGAAGTTCATAATAGCTTGACATTGTGATGATTTGATATTAGAAAGGTGATATTACAGTCAATGTATTAGACGAGGTTCATAATATCTTGACATAGTGAAGATAACCTTAAAAAGTGCACAATTAAGACGACCAAATCGATTCATTTTTTTTTTTGACGACCCGTTTCTTGATTTAAAAACAATTCCCTAGTGTAATTTTCAGTCGTACAGACAATTAATGGAACTAATTACAAGTTAGTAGAGCTCAAGAGATATTTAATCTTTTTGTTTGTTAAATTCATTTGTCCACCAAGACAATGTGGGCGTAAAACTCCATTGCAATTCATAACAGGTTTATAGGTAATTAAAATAAGGCATTAAAGGCATTGTAAAAAGGTTTTCGAAATTTTGTATGAGTATCGGGGACACTGATAGCATCAATTTGCACCATCCCAAATTTTCAATCAGACGTCTGTAGTTCCTGTAATTCCACTAAAACTAAGTGTTTGATGACGTCACTAATCGCGAAATATGCATTATCACATGAGATCATTTGCGAATTCATTAATACACCGACTAGAGGGGCCTTAGAGAGTTCAGAAGATTAGGGCGTAAAACTCCATTTGGAATTTGTGACAATATTATTTGCGCCTTAAAAATTATATGTTCCATAGTTGAGGAATAAACTCATTTGCCAAAGACTAAAAACAGAAATACAGAATTATTATTTTTTTCAATTTGGACAATGATTTGAAATAATATAAGCTAAACGACAATTTGACAAATAGATTTAAAAACAATTTATTATATTGTTTTTTAGGAAATTGTCATCATATATTTTCTCTTTTTTGCTTTTTTTTGTCACTGGTCGAAGAAATAATTTCTAGTTTTTTTTGTCTATGTTATCATTTTATAGATTGATTTCAGCTAGATTGAAATTTAAAACATGATTACGAATAGAAAGAGACCTTAAGAGTTTTCTAACACTAAATTATCGAAAAAACTTTAAGCTTCTATCGGCACCGTCCGCGTTCCATGGTTCCTGCAACAAGATTTGATTAGTTGAAAATGCCGTCAATAAAATGCGATTGTGGTAGAAGATTTGTTGGATTACAATAGACAGAAAAATACGAGAAAACAAGGAAGAGAAAGTAGCCATTTCTTAATAGGGCCTAGTAGATACATATTCCACACCGTGGTAAATAGCTATTGCTCTCTAGCAAATACATATTCCACACCGTGGTAAATAGCCATTGCTCTCCAGTAGATACATATTTAAAAACGTGCTAAATAGCCTTTGCTCTCTAAGTTGATACATATTCCACACCGTGGTAAATAGCCATTGCTCTCCAGAAGATACATATTTAAAAACGTGGTAAATAGCCTTTGCTCTCTAGTTGATACATATTCCACACCGTGGTAAAGAGCCATTGCTCTCCAGTAGATACATATTTAAAAACGTGGTAAATAGCCTTTGCTCTCTAGTTGATACATATTCCACACCGTGGTAAATAGCCATTGCTCTCCAGTAGATACATATTTAAAGACGTGGTAAATAGCCTTTGCTCTATAGTTGATACATATTCCACACCGTGGTAAATAGTGTTTGCTCTATATAGTTATATCTAGACGACGAGATCCCTTTATTTCTAATCAGACACTTTAGTCAACCAATTTGACGACTTAACTAGCCATGTACTGTGTGGGCTACTTCTTATAGTATTCATAAACTAATACAGTGACAATGGCCGTGGTAAATAGTCAATGCTCCATAATAAAATTATACCTAGACCACTAGATCCCTATACGTATGTCAACTTATTTGCATTTTGCATTTTGCTCGTCTGGTTTGGTCGTGGTAAATATACATGGCCCTATAATACCTAGACGACTGGATCGCTTTATTTCTATTTTTAGATACGTGTGTCAACCTATTTGACGACTGGCCATGTAATGTGTGGGCTAACTATGGAGAGTGCGAGAGAAATCCCCAGTATATGAACCTAAACTGTCGTAAAGCCTGTAGATTATGTGGGGTCAACTACCAACGATATGAAGGTATGTCTTCCCTAAATTAATTTTCTGGGGTTCGTTTTACCAAATGAATTTACAATCTAAATTTATCCTAGAATAACTGCTTGGCTGCAGTAGTAAGTTTCCTCAAAATTATCTAGACCTTATTCAATAAAACTTCAATTACATAATATACTGGTTTCAAATTGTCTTCATCTGATTGGTTAATCACTGAAATATGGTTTAATTAACCAATAAGATTCGATCTTTTTTAATCTAAATTCTTTCAGATTTCGAGAATATGGTCTAAGAGGTATTTTGACTATAATTTAAAAATATAAATGCTGTATTATATTTCAGAAAATCATTTTACGACCTGGGCGTGGCAGTGGTTGGGGATGTTTACAGATTTAATACCCCAAGATTGGAAGATAGGTCAGTATGTATTCAATACTATAAGGCTGTATACATATAAACTGTAATGTACACGTAGGTTTGCTATTCTTTACATGGCGCAAATAGTGCTGGAATCGAAACAAATGCCTTTTCATGATTCCAATTGGCTGTTCGGATCCAAAATGTTTTCCTCGTGGTAGTTGGTATAAAATAAAAGTAGTACATTTGAACGGTGGATCAACGTTTGAACGCCATTAGGCAATAGTATGAGTAGTTTCAGAATCAAAACTAGTTGACTGACGGACAATTCGTAAGGAAGGAGTGGGTGGGGAAGGGGTTGGGGGCAGGATGGAAAATAACTGGATAAATAAGTGATTAGGTGTGGTGTGGTTTTTAGTGTTTAATTATTCTTAGGTATTTACAAGTGTGTTAATTGGTAGAATGTATTTTTTTCCGATAATCATCGTTTGATGATGCACAACGAAGCCTTGATTGTGCGACGATGATGATGTTGCCTTGAAATATTATATTCATGGTAGTGGCAAGAAATGAAATCGAATCGTCGATTAAGTAGAAAGATGATGTGATGAAAAGAATCTCTTCAGTTCGTTTTCGTGTCCTTGTGGAATCCAAGCAAAGTAGTCGAAGCTATCGAGGAACGATAACAATGTTGAAACTCGAAAGTGAAGACTAAAATACTTATTTCAATGGAATCGAAATATTGATGAACTATCTCTTTAGTTAGCTTTCGTGTCCTTGATGAAACCTTAGCAATAATGTCGAGTAGATAGAAACCTTGTCGAGTAACGATGACTAAAACACTAATTTCGATGGAAGTCGAAATATTGATGAAACAATCCATTTAGTGCTTTATCAAAATGAAATGAAAATGAATGGAGTTTTACGTCCTACTTTTCTGCAAACTGCTTTATCAATATGAAACCCCAGCATTGATTTCGAGAAGAGTGAAGCCTGATCTTGCGACGCTGAAAATGTTGAAACTCGCAAGTGAAGACTGATCACAAATTGCAATGAAATTGATGAAACAATATTTCTGCAGAACCAAATAACATTCCATTTGTTTAATCCTAATTGAAAGCTGATATACTTATCCAAGTCGCGGCAAAAATTGAAGCTCAAATCGTTGAAAGAAGCCGCAATCAAAACGGCTATCAATAATTCCAAAAGCAAACCCGTCTACCGTGAAAGTTCTGGTAGGGGTGTTAAACATAATCGGCTTTAAAGAATCTGTCGAGAATTGTTGAAACAGCCGACACAATCGGTGAGGTAGACGTGAAGAGAATCTTGTAGCTTTGAGTAAGCCAAGAGAACCACTTGTGAGTGGTAGAACCAGGGAGGGCAGCAAGGACAGGGCTGCAGCCTACTTACCTAGAACAACGGGACATCAACTTACCTGAGCGATTTTGGTGAAAAAGGGCTCCACTTCTGGGTTCTTCTGGACCCTGAAAAGTTTGTGTGGGGAGAGGTAAAAGTTTTCTTGTATTTCCGCATAATTAAAGACTAAAAACCACACTTTTTGTAGGAAATAAAAGGGGGGGAGGGGTGCTAGACCCAAGTGATCCCAAGCAAGCGTGACGGAGTAACGTCCATGACACTAATATTATAACAATTTTCAATCAAAAATATCACTTTATTAATATAAATCCTTGAATTTATCATTTCCGCCAGGTCTCATTTTTTTTACTCATAGACTAATTTTTGGTGGACTCCGCTCCGCCACGCTTGCCCTTTTTTACATACATAAACCCAGGGAATGGGGAAGGCATGGGGTTAGGGGGTTGGGTGTAAATATAACAACATTTTACCTTCTTTATTTACAACAAAAATCAAAATTGAAAATTAGTACTCACCATTTTGGCGATGATTGCTCTCCATAACGCTGTCTGTCAGTTGACACAAATTTTGTCCTTTCAGAAAGTTCAAGGATTGTTTTTCAAGCAAGAATTGTCATCTTCTTTTTCAATTCAATATTCAAAGTTAACTGTCACACTCACAGGAAAATCATTGCCTAAAGGACTTTATCTAGAAATGTCAAACGAAGATCAGGTGGCCTTCTTCTCGGCTTATATAAAAAGCCGCCATTTTTCCACTGACATCTTGACACACTTGACAGCACGTGTAATTTCGATCACAACTGATCGCTGACCTATTTACGTTCCACAACCATCTAGATTTAGTCACAAACGTTCAGCGATTCCCGAAAACACCGACAAATGTCAATTCCGGAACAAATATCTTCAAAACAGCGAGAACACTTTTCATTTTAAAAACAGTTCATAAAAATTCCGCCATGGCACTCGCAGCAGAAGACGTCACAGGACTTTTTCAGACTTCTAAATGAAGAGCTCTTTTATTCTTTCTGGACAGACATTGCGGAAAAAATTCCTTGGCTACGATCTGAACATGAATCATTTATTTTAGGGGGGGGGGGGATTTTGGTCAAATGGTAAAGGGTGTTTTTAAATGCATGGAAGAGTAAGCATGCTATCAATGCAATGCCACAGGCACCAACATCAATTTATTCCATATTTTATTGTCTTCCCCACAGGCATCCGTCATCTGAATGTATAAACTTAATTTTTTCCCCACAGGCACATGTAGTGACGTATTCCCTAGTGACAAATGTACTAGTTGGAAAGAAAATGGCGACTGTGTAACCAACCGGTTATGGATGAAAAGAAATTGTAAAAGGGCCTGTAATTTCTGTGATTCGAAGGACGATGATCTGATAAAACCAGAAGGTATGTATGCATTAGACACTATTTTAGCTATGTGGACTCTCTAAATTGGATGGCGAATCGACAAGCCCAATCACAGTGTACATGTGGACTCTCTGAAAGGAGTTCTGAATCCACCAGAGTATTAAAGTCATGTATCTTACTAGCAACGGTAGCTTTGCTTCCCAGGGGCAGACATGGGGCTAGCCTAACTACCTCCTTTCCCAGTTAAAATTTCTCATCATTGAGTTTTAAAATGGCCCTGATTGAATACTAGCGAAACGTTAATATTTTTTAAATATTGACAGTAAATTGTAACAATACCCACGAGGACGAAGAAGAGTGTGATAAATGGGCTCTAGAAGCCGAATGTAACATCAATAAAATTTGGATGCCTAAAAACTGCCGAAAGTCATGTCGTCTGTGTGATGCTGATATAACTCCGCCTAAAGAAGATGGCGACGGTGACGGAGATGGTGATGGTAAGTTATCTCCCTTGTCTCAAAGGTCAAAGGTCACAAGTCGCGATAGCATTCGCCAGTAACTGAATGCAAAGTTGTCTTTGAGGTTCCGCTATTCAGTTCGCACCAGACTTGCTTGAATTTTGATCAAGCGGTATAGACTAGAAATTTCACAAAGTTTCCAAAATTATATAACAAGTTCAATTGCAGATGTCATTGCTTCTAAGGGAGGGTCAGGGGCAATTGTGCAAACCCTTAGAAACCCTTCTCTGTGTTCCATTGCGAAACCATTGCAAAACGAGGCAGAAGCGTAGGTAAGGGTGCGGGCCGAATCTGATCTGCATAAAATAAATAAAAGAGAAAACATTGAATTTACGTCGAATCTTACTCTGCAAATCTAAAAATCAAATACCAAGATGAAAAAAAAAGGTTTTTTTCTCAACTATCTAGAATGTAATCACTAGTTTATGCAGTTTTTCTGGCTCTCGATTTGACGGATATCGTGTGGTATTATCAGTAAAGTGCTTTATTACGTGATATTTTTGAGACTATTTTTGCATAATCCATCAGTAATAAGGCAATTTCAAATTTTCCGAGCAGTTTAATTTTGATGGATGATAAGAAAAATATCGTTTCTAAATTTTGGTATTTAAATCATAAGTGAAGTAAAATGAAGTTTAATGTCCTGCTTTTTGTTGTTGCTTGGAATAATGAAGACAATTTTATTACAATTACTTGCGAAAGCTCTTTAACTACTGGTTGAACCTAGCCCACAGGCCCCACCCCACCTCTTAAAGCGGCCCCAGCCTAGTTGATGTATAGCTTTCTTGTTTGAGCATCAGAAAATAAACTTATAAAAACAGACCCAAAAAAGAGACATTTTATGAATTTTATTAATCATCACTTATTTGACGTGTATTATATATGTTTTCTCTTACCCATTTTTAAGATAATTATTTTTCCAAATGAATCGCCAAACCACTTGAAATATGGCTTTCTGCTTTAGAAAGAGAAAATAGATTTATTTATACAAAAAAGGAAAATTTAGGAGAACAAACTGAATCAGAAAATGCAGGAGAATCTTATTTTAGAACAAAGTAAATCTCACAAGACAGTAAAAGAGAAAAATCTCATTTTAGACACCTAAACCATCTATCAAACCAAATAAAGAGAATGTTTGAACTTTTGTCCTACCTTGAAAGGTATTTTGCACCTGAGAGAATCTAAAGGCATATAGACGTCTAATTACTTAATTACTAAGTCGATTTATCAAAGGGATCTAATGCTATTAAACAAATTTTACGATTAGTGACGTCATCAGATATTTAGTTTCATTGGAATTGCAGGAACCACTGACGTCTGGTTGAAAATTAAAATGGTGTAAATTGATGCTATCAGTGTCACGATACACATAAAAATTTTAGAAAATCTCTTTTTACATTCGCTTTAAATGCTAGAACTTAATTTATATGGCCATCAAAATAGCTGTATCACTTGATAGAAATTGAACGTCTAGGTACAAGTCAATCTTATTGTCGCTTTCTCAAATTGAAACATCAATATTTTCTACAGAGTGCTGCACCGGTAAACTTAGATTACTTCAGAAATCTCACTATTAGATAAGCCATTAGCTTTATCTCCACATAAAATTGAATTTGTTATAAACTGTGCTTTGAGATCGAAAAAATGGAACTATTTACACTTGATCTCGTTTCAAAAAATACTCCATAAATTCTATAAGTAACATGTCAGAGCACGAAAGATTATTAAGTCATAGAAAAGTATAGAAATCGACACTAAGCAATATGAGCCTTCAAATAAACGACTTTTTCAAAAATAAATTGAAACATGCGCACTCGTGAAATGATAAGAAAGTTTTTCAGATTGATAAAAAAGGATCTTGTTTTGTTTCATTTCTTGAAATTATAAGGAAAATATGTCCAACTCGGTAGTTTTTTAATGTCCTTGATGTTTTTGATCAATGGCTTACAATGTGGTCAAAATCAACTAGAGCTATTCCTTATGAGTGCGGTCGTTTCAAATAATACCACAAACCCCAAACACTCTTCCACCTGATGTTTATAGTTTATTAACAAACGCCCTTCAGCATATTAGCATTTTTACATATATAATATATATTCCAAGATGGCGGGAGATGGACAAAACAATTTAATACAAATTAGAGCAGTTTCTCACTTTTAGGAAGGAAATAACCTTATTAACACACAATTTTTTAGAACTATAAATTTTAACGTTCTGTGCCTGTGCTTTTGTAACGTTGTTTTCAATGCAATGTTACAATCTTTATTCCCAGTTCACCCCTACCGCACCCCGCCTCATCCCAATTAAAAAGATATTTTTGTTTTGCTTGTAGGTAGTTGTGAAGACAACTATGACACCAGCCAATGTCAGGCTTGGGCTGCGTCCGGGGAATGCACCGCTAACCCGGTATGGATGGGACCCAACTGTAGAAAATCGTGTGGCAAATGCAATGATGGTAAGTCAAAGTTACACCGACGGAAACCGTACCATTATTAAACTGTATAATAATAACCAGCGATGGTCTAAGGGACGTAACTCTTTTTTAAATGTCGTTCAATACTACAGACTACAAACGTTTTATACTATCATTCAAATAACTGAAGAACAAAAAATCTTCACCACAAACTTGCGTTACGATAATCGTCATTCATTCATTCATTCATTCATTCATTCATTCATTCATTCATTCATTCATTCATTCATTCATTCATTCATTCATTCATTCATTCATTCATTCATTCATTCATTCATATCTTTTCAGGAGAATGTAAGAATCTGTACGACAGTATGCAGTGTGCGATTTGGGCGGAGGAAAATGAGTGCGAGAAGAATCCAGTATGGATGAAGGATAATTGTGCGAAGGCCTGTAAACAATGTAAACCGGACAACAAACCGGTGACAGACCGACCCACTGATAGAACCATGCCACCAACTGGCAGGACAGATGGACCCACTACCAAATCAACACCTCGACCACCGACTACTACCGAGGGATTTGCTGGTGGGTAGACCTATTCAATTCTCTTTTATATTTTGTTTTTTGTTTTCTGTCGAATTTTAGTGACAAATGCTTATCCCCAGGCATTGTCATTTAAATCAATTTCCATCGGTTTTCTTTATGACGTAGGCTTATCTTGGGTATCGTTTTTGTACCACACCTTCTAAAAGATAAATATGAACACGTAATAGTGTTGGACGTTTTTAAGTGCTTATTGAGAATTCAAATGAAATGTTATACTCTTTTGGAAAGTTGGATTTTACTTAATTGATATCGATGCATGGACATTGTTATCAAACAGATCGCCAGACCGGTCCATTTATGCACTTTTGTAGCTGCAAGATATATGCATATAAGCAAATATGGTGCATAAATCCACACAAATCCCCCCAAAATAAGAAAATATTGTCCATTTCAGGAAGCTGTAGTAATTCCCATAACGATATAGAATGTAAGATCTGGGCTGACAGCGGACATTGTGAGATCAACCCGGAGTGGATGACATCTCATTGTCGACTGTCCTGTAGGAAATGTCGAGATTCGCCTGATACCGGAACGGGAGTCGGCACTACTCTAACACCATCTGGTAAGCTATAGATATACTTGATTCCACTTTGCCACTGGGTTTGACGACTCCAGGGGTGTATCTAGAAAATTTCTGATTGAGGGAAGGGTCGATTGCAGAGATGTCTCTTCGAGGCGAAGGGAGAATTCTTGAAGTGGCCGTTTAACTTTCACGGGCCTGTTTTTGCTCCTCTGAACGGATTCTTTCCGGCGAAAAAAGGAAAAGCACTATGCATGTGCATAGATGTAAACTATTTCATTATTTATTAACCCAACGTTTCACGTGCTCATACAGACAGCGTTATCCAGAGTCTTTTTTTTTCTTTGTAGTTGATTGTTTCGATAAGAACCCAGAGTGTGCCAGTTGGGCTAAAGTTGGATATTGCGAGTCGAACCCGAGATATAATTTATTATACTGTAAATATTCCTGTAAAAATTGTAACGGTAAGTCACATTTCATATCTTCATAAAGGACAGCTCGAACAGATTGAAGGAAGCCGTGGTGGCTCAGTGAAGTAGACGCTTGCTCGATAACTCGATAGTGTTGCAGGTCGATAGGCTTATATAGAAAAAGTGTCTAGTCGTGCGGATGGGACAGGTAATCGAAGCGCCTTGTCCTATTGGCTGTTCACTTTAAATAATTCTCGACATTTGGAAACCGAAAAAAATTGAACTTATGCTGCTATGTCTTGGAAAAACTCTTCTTCCCTTTTGCAAGTTGCATGACCTTGCCCGTCGTCTTACGACACATCAGGTGCCGTAATGAAGAACGTCATGTACTGTTTCCTTTGTGTTTTTTACCTAAATAATGGAATATTCTGTGTTATCTCCCCTTATGCATAAATGATTAAATACAATCTGTGACCAAGGCCACTGATTTCATAGAGACTCGTCTCAACACACCCTAACACCAGCTTAACAGATACAAATGGCCTGGAACTTCGTGGACAGGACCGAGATATTTTAGCTATCTCGTCTTTTAATTCTTAATCTGTTTTCTATTTGTAGGATGTCGAGATGAACATATCCTCTGTGAAGTTTGGGCCAAAGGTGGAATCTGCATTAGTAATGCACGCTATATGTTACGTCATTGTCAAAAATCTTGCAAAGTCTGTGAATTTTGAACTAGGGCAGCCATTTTGATTTCATTCCCACCATTTTTATATAGTCCTTAAATTATAATTCACTTAGTTACAAATTCAAATTATGACCTCAAAATATTTTTTTTAGTGAAAATCTGCATTTTAGAGAAATTTAAAAGTCAGCATTAAACATCACAACCTTTTTAGGCAACCATGATGATTTTATGGCAGCCATTTTGAATTAGTGTCAAGGTCATAGATATACATTTGCGATATTATTTTGGTAAGAAGTTGTTTTTATCCGGCGTCATACGCTGTGAGATCTGTAAAAATCTGATTTATTTCATCCTGTGTCTTGTTTCGGTTTAGTAATTTGTTATTGTTGAGATATTTTTGATGACCTAAATTAAATTATACACGTGCAAAATAGTGTTATTCTTTGCCAAAATTGGACAGTTTTGACAGGTATAGGCTTGCAAAAATATTACTGGAACATATCTTGATGTTGAATATAGGCATTTGCAATAATCAACTTGTCCAGGACTGACTAAACTTCAAAGGAAAGATAACTTCTCATATCTCAAGATTTAATTAGTTTAATCCTCCAATTATTTACAGTCCATATTGAAAGACATTATCGGTAGAAATATATTTACACAATAGAAAATAAATAGATGTGTTATTTACATACTGACCTATTTACAATGCACCTGCATATTCTAATTATGTACATGTGCATATATTGATATATTATACTGGTATATATTGTAATCTGCACGTGCATATATTGATTTTCTTGTCCCATTTTGATTTAAATGCTCAAATTGCAACCAAAATTCTTATAAAAAAAAAATATAAGCCAGTCCTTTTCAATAATCAGAAAAAAACAAAAAAGAAATTGTTACAAATGATGCTAATAAGCCAACCTAGAAGATGTGAAGGGCAGGGCGTATAAGACTTCCCCCCTTTTAAAAGCACTTCATAAGATGCCATATCAAAACAGCGTGTAGCTTAATGGACGTACATGTACAAAATATAGTTTCGATACGAAAGTTTTAACAGAAACTGGCCATCCCCGAGAGTTTAAAAGACGCATTTTACATTTACTATGTACTACATATACACAAATGACAAAACACTTTATATGAGCCTCTTTAGCTCCAATCCGTAGGAGGGTATCCTTTAAAAGCCACATTGAACACCACAGCGCCACCTACCAACGCAAAAAACATAAAACATGCCATCCATCCGGAATTCTGTTGCCATGGATATCGTTGAATATCTCTTAGAAACGGTTTCGCCAAAAAGAAACCTAAAATGGAAATGGAAACACAAATATATTTGAATCAAATCTTTGCTATTACCGTACTTTCAGAGCGCCAGGTAAACTTTCGAGTTGCTCCATTTGACCCCGTGATCGCAAGTGTAACTACATATATCTCACAAGGGGAGACAATCTTAGTATCCATGTCATCTTACCTGCTAAGATTCCACCACCGTGGGCACATAATCCAACTTTATAAGGATCATCTAGATAGAATCTTCTGTACACAGCTAGCCCGATATCCACAGCGGCTGGAAGAGGAAATACAGAGATTTAGAAGTAACACATGAATTGCTCTTTATTTTTAAGGGGGCGTTTTTAACGACGATGGCGTTTGTTATGAAATTGCTATAATTTCTGGATAGAAGTACATTTCGGTTTTAGATGAAATACCCTGGCCTTTTTCAATTTTCTATGTAAAGGTCTGCGCGGAAATAGCTTTATCTGCGCCTCCAGTTCGTTTTTACTTCACTACAGACGAACCTGACGTCGTAATTTCAATCTTCTAAGATATCTTAAACAGATAGTAAAAAGCAAAGCATTAAAAACAACCTTACCAATTAATATGATGAGTATAATTCTTAAAGGAAGATTACACAAACATTTCATTGCAGAACTTCCGGTTGAGTCTTTCTTTAATTCGCTCCAATTCTAAAAATAACATAAAAAAAAAACACGGCCCTTTATTAATAAGTTGTACAAAAAAGAGGGTCAAATGTGTTGGATAGTACATCAGTATTCTTCGAAGAGTTAGTAATGAGAATACGATGATTGATTTGATTGCTAGTGTAAAATGGTGGCTCGCTCTTGACTTCCCATCCAGAGAAAAACCCGACAAGTTTATTTTGAGATTCATTTTGAATTTACTTACAAATATAAAGCTAAGTAAATGAGCAGTCATGATGGCGTATATTCCACCGCTTCCACCCAACATCACAACATAATGGTCGGAAATTGACTGTAACAACGACCCTGAAATATTCAGAAAATAACATTTTCATATACTTAACTTAACTAAATAAACAAAAAGGAATTGCTGAGGATCCGAAACGCAAAACGTTACTCGAAATTCAAAAGTTTGGCAATATCATCCAATCCCTATTGAAGCTAATGACACTTTTAAATGAATGCCCCCCCCCCCCCCCTCCCCCATTTGTTATTGTGATAACAATCAACAGCATACCTGTTATTGCCCCCATAAAATATACAATCATCAATCTCCAAAACTTGAACACAATTTCTAGGGGAATGCCGAAAATTAGTTGAAAAACTAAGGTAAATATTAAATGCATGTACCTGAAAGACACAAAAGAAAAAAATTGATTAATAGGTTATAAATTAGATAGTTTTACCAGACCACCCCATCAAAAGCCCCTCAGGAGAAATCAAGCCCCACCCCACAGGTTAAAAGCCACCTACCCTAGATGTTGACACAGATAATAAATAAATTTCCAATCCAACACATTAACATCAAGCCCCACCCCACAGACTAAAAGTAACATACCCTTGATGGTAAAATATATAAAAAAATCCCCCAGCTTAATAACGTCGGAGAACCGTTCTCACCCGACAGTGTCCCTGAGTAACATCGAGCCTCACCCCACAGATTTAAAGCTACTTACCCCTGGTGATAAAATATATAGGTGACAAACCGCCAAGCCTCGTATCGTCGAGTCGGTTTATAAATTAAAGTTGAGTTGATATCAAAGCCTTCTAAAGCTGTTGTGGGGATCCCATCTTTATCAAGCTCGAAGGCTGTTACACAAAATAACACAATCTGAAACACACGTAATAGAAGTGTGATTAAACATGAGAAGAGTTGAAATATTAACGTGACGTCATGTGTGCGGTTACCTTCGAACAATTATTTGTGGTCGTGTGTTTTAATATCAATTTCATTCATTCATTCATTCATTCGTTCGTTCGTTCGTTCGTTCGTTCGTTCGTTCGTTCGTTCGTTCGTTCGTTCGTTCGTTCGTTCGTTCGTACGTACGTTCGTTCGTTCGTTCGTTCGTTCCTTCCTTCCTTCCTTCCTTCCTTCCTTCCTTCCATCCTTCCTTCATTCATTCATCCATCCATCCATTAATTCATTCATTCATTCATTCAGTCTTTCATTGAGCTATTCAAAACGTACCTGCACAATTGACAGTGAAATCATAAAAAATGGTGGCGGGCAGCATCTGTATTTGTATAAATATTCACCAAGTTCTATATTCGGAATGGTATTTTTACATAAATAATATAATGTCCCCTCGGACCGTGCCCTTGTTTTACTCTCCGACACCCTGGAGCCAACCCCTATAGAGCTACCACCAGTCGACTTCAATCTCTTTTCACCAAGCACCTGTCAATATAGAAATAGAAGGGACGTTACTCCAATTATGTCCGGTTTGCAATGTCGCAATGCACGGGAAATTCGTTAAACCGCACAATTTTATCAGGCGTGTAAATGTGCGGATAAAAAGGGCTCCACTGTATTTATTTGTGAAATAAAAAGTAATATTCAGTTATTAAAAAGAAAGAAGGTGAAATATAGGGAGTTCAATGAAGATTTTAGGCGCCCGAATTATGCCCCTAAGAACGCAATATACTTACAATGGAAGTAAATTCATCGTAGCTGATGGCTTGTCCTGGATTAAAATCTGCTAAATCCAAGAGATCGTGAACTTTATCCGGTGGTAGCATTCGTCTGTACCAACGGTTCTCCAGAAGACGTCGCAGATCATGAAGAGCGATCCGTTCTCCACCATAGACAAACTGAAACGAAAGATATTTTTAGTGATTTGATTAAAATACAGCTCTAGATATCCTGACTTGGTATTTTACTTGTTAATTCACTGTCCACCATCTTGAATTGAATACACAATTTCGCAGACGTTAATGGCCGCCATCAAAAGGGTAGGATTAACTTACGGTGAGAAGAAGGAAGAGGCCTCACGCCCACTCGACTGAATTGTGGGACTGTGGGGGACACAGGGTCGTTGTAGAACATCCGGTAATGTCTTGCTGGGTTCATCTTTGTATAGACACCAAACATTATACCAAGTTTATTTTTTTACGTTTCCAGAAACTAGCCATCCAAAGATTGATTTAGGTAACTCGAATAAAAAATGAGTTTTTCTCATGTCTTGCTCTAAATGTAACGATATCTCATCCGTATATAACGTAAGAGGAAAAGGAAAGGGCCAGATTTTGTCGACGTAACTCGGGATTAACCCTGTTGCTTACCTGTTGGAAAACTGGTCTGAAATTCTGCAAAAGAAAACAACATAATCGATTAATATTTCTACAGGGCGGTCGTGGTAAGGTGGTAGCCTTTTTGGGGAGCTGTGTCAGTCATTTTCCTATGTGGGACTATTCCTTTAAACGAACCCATGACCCCAAGAAGGTCAATACCATTCACCCAAGCTTAAACTCCAAAACAACTTTGTCAAATCGTAGGAAAATATGTTTTTATCGCAATTTGACAGTGGGTTTGTATAGTACAATATATAATGAATACAATTTTTATTCATATTCTATCACACGTCGTCTCACATCGTCAAACACAGCTTATAAATATTGACAAAAAACATAATTTTCACAATTGCAGGGCGTAAGACCTAGTTCGCGTGGGAGGTGGGGGAGGGGGGGGGGGGGGTGAGAGGTGGGATGAGGGTAGTATCGGAGGTATCAAGCACTCGACTAGAACGGCACTGACAGTTCACCGACTGACACAAAATATTGTGTAAAATGTTAAAAATGATGCAAGGTTATCACATATTCATTTTTCTTTTTTTAATTTAACTGTTCATTATGAAACACTACCTCACTTCTGATTGATATACCTTCTCTTATTAATTGTTTATTTCCCTCTGTCAAATTATTGCCAATATTTTATTTTGGATTTTGTGGATTTGTGGTTTTGCGATTCGGATCCATTGTAGGTGTACTTCATTATTGAAAAGTTGTCAATAGCAGGGAGTGTCGTAACTTGACTCAATTGTATTAAATATTTCCCAATAAAACCACGCCAGTGATAAATGATAAACGCTCTAAAAAATTTAATGTCATATTTTTAATAATTTAAAATCATAAAATTAAATGAAGGATACATTTGGTTACAAAATATCTATTATATTTAGATATTTTTCAAAACCGTATTCATTTGATCAAAGTTACATACTATTGGTTTATCGGCGAATTGAATATGACGTCATTGTCAAGGCGTTATTTACATTGTCACAGTTATCATTTGTTATTATAAGACGTCAGCTAATGTTGATAACGTCATATAAATGACGACGCAATTAATTGAATTGCAGGAGAACCATAGGCCGCACATCATTTCTTAAAAGTGACACCAACGGCTGGAATTTAGCTTTATCAGTGTGGAAAATGATATTTAGATGACTTCATTCATATTAATTTTGAATTTATCACTTTCAGAGAATCCACACTAATAATGTTTGAGTCTATTCGGTATTTAGGTTGTCTTTTGGACAGAGAGTTCACAAGCTAATATTTTTAAAATTGGTATTCATTCCACATAACTTGGCAATAAAAGTTAACGTTGATTATTGAGAGTACAGTAGGCCTATGTTTTATTATAATGTCTATTTGGTATATTGATATAAAAGTATTAAGTATGTAAAGATTATTGAAAGGACAGTAGACCTAAAAAAAATTTATAATATTTATTTTGAAACTTGAAACTGGACTATTATATCACCCCGTTCTATTATCACCAAAAACATTATTGTCAAAAACTAGGTGAATATTTCCCACAAGATAATTTTCACTGACTGTGATAATCCCAGCCGTGGGAAATTTCATTTTATGAATTGTACATAAACCTTACACCATTCTTGTTTTTTTAAAAGGTTATATTAATTTCTATACATCGGTCTACTTAGAAATACTACAGAAATTTCAAATTTATATGACTCAAGCAAATAACGGACCCCCCCCCCCCCCCAAAAAAAAATTCACTCCCTCCCTGGTCGCCCCTTCACTAACACTCAACTTCCTTACAAATCTTTTCAAAGAACTCAAAGCAAAGACCACCCACCTAATATACCCAATCCCTGGGCAAAAACACGAAGAAAAGATCATCCCCTATACACACAATCCTTTCCGTCCCCTCCCTACGAATGTCTCTATTACCCCACCCCCCAGAGACCACACAAACACAAAAACAAATAATCAGCACCATCATCCTCCCACCACGGGACCACACATTCTACCCCATACTTTTCTAACATCCATTTACATTTTACAAGAGTAGGACGTAAAACTCCATTCATTTCGTTTCATTTTAAATTTAACAAGACCACCCACCTGGGCCTCACCCCACAGAAAACCTAAAAAAATAAACAAAGGGTCTTACCTCTTCTAAATCTACCCTCAGCTCCATATTGGGGTCCTTATATTCGTCTCGGTACAGAGCAGCAGTTCCCACAGCGGCTGGTGGATAGTGCCTTGAAGACCACGTCGAGAACATTTCAAAATTTGAATACAAAAGTCTTTTACAATTTTCTATGTACACAAGCAACCCGACTTGTAAGAGATTTTGAAGAAATTCAAACAGTAGTTTTTATTCAAAGTTCAATCCAACTGTTTCTCATCCAAGTCTTTTGTGTAGTCTGGTACTGGAAACATTACAGTCAAGAGAGAGAATATCTCTGACGCAAGTAACCGCCATCTTTTGTCCAATTTAGCGAGGTAGCGTTGAAGACCTTATCGAGCTACACTTTGAAGCTTTATAAAAGAGTTTTTTTCATCGAAGGGCGCAGTCAGTAAGGTCTCTTAATGGCCGTAAGCTCGGAGCTCTTCAATTTCCAATTTTCCAAAAATGGCGGCTAAAAGCGTTTAAGACATCAACAAGCCATATTACTGCATGCAGTCATATAGTAGAAGTTGTATTCACTTTAATTCACTTGTAATGCATTTTCACCACCGTTAATTCAGTTCTCCTTGTACAATTTCCAAAAATGACTGCCAGTAGCATTCGAGACTTGATCTAGCTCATCTCTGAAGTCGTACGTGTTATATTCATTGAAGGGCGCAGTCAGAGCGGTAATGTTTTGTCAAGAAAAGTACAATAATAAAGGGCGGGTCCTCCAAGCCTATACTATATTGGTCTAATCATTTATTATTCATTCAACTAACCAGACCTATTTTCTTTTCATAAAGCAATGACTTAAAGCGACACCTCATTGAGTTAGCGAGTCTACGTCATTTTGTTTTAACGACAACATGGGCGAGCGGAGTATGAGAGAATAGGACATGGACTGGAGTTTTACGTCCTATTTTTTCAAGGCATCAATCAATAACGATAACATGAGTAGGGAAATTAAAAATGGAGTTCTTACGTTCCATCCACTCTAATTTCTTTCTTAAGAGGAGGAATTCCCCATACCAGAAGCGGAAATAAAATAAAATATTTTCGAGGTTTCAAAAGATTCCTACAGACCTGTATAATCTCTGTTAGCTAACAAAAACAATTTCAATCGCTTGAAGTAACATACATTTGAGAAAACCCTGTTTTGACAATACGTATTGAGTAATTTGTTTGCACAACCTTAAATGCCAGGGTCACTTTAACTTATCCATTTTCTAAATAAACAGAAAATTGCTGCGGCGAGTAAAGGGAGATGATTTCAAGGCCAACGGTTTTATTGATTTTAGTAATAATATGTTAAGGGGCAGTCTGATTTTATTTTTTTATTTTTTCGTAGGTTTGGAAGTTAAGTGCACAAAACTTTACACCAAAATACAGAGGAATGTACAGCATGCAGGCCTCACCGCTCAATTATTTCGAAAATATCAAAAATTGTTGGCTCCTAATCCCAAGGATTAGAATAGTGGCGGCGCCATTAGGGGATGAATCCTACCCCTGTGGTTGCTCCCACATTTAATCAGTCTGCCCTCTTAAATCAATTAAAAGCGTTGGCCTTGAAATTACCCCCCTTTACTACCTAAACTCCCGTCTCGGAGGCTATCCCTGCAACTTGATTAGAAATGTGGATATTAACATTGGCAACAGTAAAGAATTGCCTAACTCAACATTTTTTCAGTAAGTCATTGACATCTCTTTCCCTGTTAAATCACAAAATTCAACCTTACAATCATTAATGCAAATGTTTTATTGGTCTAAGTCCAGAAGAATTATGTCCCTTGTTACTCTTCAAAAGGGAGGTAAAATAAGAACAAATTTTAATGGCGGGAATTTGAAAAACGTAAACAAATCAACGTCAAAGCTGAAGCGAACATTTTTAATAAGCCGTGAGCTTAAAAATAGATAAAGAACCTTAAGCCTAAAGGGCAACAAGTTTCAACAGCTAGTTAGAGAAGCCTAGACAGAACTGCCTGGAGCCCTAAAAAGGCAAAGCACAACGAACGTCGACTAAGCAGGCAAAACTGCGATTGAGAAAGTCAGGCTCGGGATCACTAAAAAAGAATGAGAGGACGAAAGAGAAAGCAAAGCGTAAAGGCGGAGGAAGGTAGGCATCTATTTTGTTTAGTAGTCCCATTAGATCATTCTGGATTTTGGTGTAAGCCGACCCGGTCCTAGGGCCGATAATCGAATGTAAAGCATTGGCCACGGAATCTAAATTCTTTTTTTTACCAATTCGAACCCACTGCACCTAACTGCAGAATGCATTCATACTCGCTGTCGACTAAGCTCTTCCTTTTCCACGATGTTGGATTAAACATACATACGCTTTATCTGTGAATTTCTTAAAAATTTAATAGTAGTCTGATGGACCAATGTATAAACTCTTAATCTGGAGTTGCTTCCCTTTGACCATTTGTTATGCAAGTGCCGGTGATTTTTGAAAGTTGATTATTTTGACTTTTCCTTTATTTTCCATGAATTTTAAGAACCCAAAGAGGAAACAACAGATGTTCAAGAATCGCAAAGGTGGGCCATTATCTTTTTTACCCGGACATTATTCATCGTATTTTAACCTTGAGATTGATGTCACCAGACAGGGAGTTGTTGACTCTTTTTTAATGGAATTGTCGTATCGCAGGAACCACAGACACCATACTGAAAACTAGAATAGTGCAGATTGATGGTATCAATGTCCCTGATAAAAGTGATACATATAAAAGTTTAGAAAACCTATTACAATCCCTTAATCTCCTATTTTCAGCACCAAAATTGTTCCAAGTTTCGGTAAAAGGAAGAAAGTTTCCAATGTGAAAACGAAAAGGTAAGGGAATCTTACTGGATCCGAGTGAAAAAGAAGTTGCAATTGCAAACACACTGTAAGTAAAATAAATGAATGTAAAAAAGGCGAGTTTGAAATCGTTTTTATACATGTTGATCATCTTTCAACATTTTTTATTAAAAGAATTCAAAGTATGGAGAACCAAGTCGAATGGGCCAAAACACTCAAGGACGAACCCATTGAAATTCATAAAAATCGTTTGTTATAACTCTGGGATAAAGCGGCGGATGGCATCCATTTTTTCTAAATAATTCAATCTTTGTATTTTCAGTGCCAAAACCGATGTCTTGGAACCAAGTACACAAACGACTGTAGAAGTCCATAGAGAAGAGTCTGAACCAGCAGGGGTACCACAGCAAGCTAGCTCCAAAGAAAATAAGAATGAATCTACAAAAGCCTTCCACGGTACAAATGATATTGAAGGTGAATCAAACCCAGGGATCTCATCAGACGCAAAAGGCCTAAACGACCAAGGAATTGAAAATTCGTCAAATGAGTCCAAAAGACATGGAGGAACCGAAAAAGAAGCGATGATAGTTCCTGAAAATGATGCAGCTAAAATTCAGGCAGTCCTTAAAACAAAAGAAAGGGAAATTGTTCAGATACCAAGCTCAAGTCAGACGTCTGTTCCAGTCAGGAATATTCGCTCACTTCAATTTGATCCTTCTGGCGATGCTAAACCTTATGCAATCATCACGAAAGACACCCAAAACAGAACGGAAATCTTTGATGAAAATAATATGCTCACAAGTAAAGAAGACACAAATGAACAGCCCCAAAAGTCTGTGGTAAATAGCACTACAACATCGACTGAGTTGCAAAAGAATGCTAATGAAAACGCAGACGTAGCAGTCTTTATAAAAACAGCTCCGACCAAATTCGACATCCCTGATGAAATTGGAGCAATCGTAACAAATACAGCTCCGACCAATGACCATAGCACTAATGAAAACGCAGTCGCAACAAACACAGCTCAGACCAAAGTCGATGGAGCTGATGAAAACGCAGTAAAAACAAATGCTGCTCCGACTAAATACCACGCCGACCAATCTGATGCGTCTCCGACCTTAAGAGATCTGTCGTACGACGAAGAGAGTCAAGAAAGCGTCGTCGAAATCCACAAATTGCTGGATTATCATTTCGAAAATTTCCCAAAATTAGCAGACACCAAACCGCCACTTTTCGGATTCACCAACGACTGTGCAGACGCGAGTTCAGGCTTCATTCAAAATAGAATCGTCCAGAATAAGATCTTAGAGTCTGATGAGTCATCAAATTCTCATATAACAGACGACAAATGTTTGGATGTCGGTAAGGAATCTACAAAAGAGACAGCAGCCGACACTACAGCGGAGTTGCAGAAGCCAAACGAATTGAAAAAGGGAAAAGTTCAATGCTCCAAAGACCGTCCATGCCAAACAGCTTCAGCTTTACCTACTACTCCAGAGTCGTTCTTGCCCCCCACTCAAGGATTTGGTATCCATGGAATAGACTTCCCGATCGCTGCCACCCAGAATTTCAACATCTCCTACTCGCCGCTGATGTCCATCTCTCCGGATAGCTCCAATCCAGACTCTCCCTCGTCATTTCCGGACAAAGATGCTCCTATGGGGCCTACCCTTTGCTCCCATTCCGTTCAAGAGACACACGAAACTCTTTTAAATGTAAAGTCGAATATTGGGTTGGAATCACAAAGCAATATTACTCTTCAAAACCAGGAAAATGCAGTAAATCCGAAAATAGAGTCAGTGAATCGGAGCAGCTTAGACGGCATGGATAATGTGAGACAACCTTCGAGAAACGACGAGATCAAGACCGACACTACCAGAAATTCAGCCACTCCCGATGAACAACGTTTCTCTGATAAACAAGAGATGCCTCTATCCGAAAGTTCCTCTGAGACAAAGCTGCAGATGTCTTTTCCCATTCGACCATCAACATCCAAGAACGACATGTTGAAACAGGTCTATCTCGTCCAAAACAAGGATCATTCATCTGTGGATAATTCCTTTGGTAAGATCTGGGCCCCCCTTTTTGTTGTTTAGCTATGGATCTCATTTCACGAGCGCACTAATTCCAGAAATGAAACTTCGGTCAAGGTGTAAGAGAAAGTCTATCTTAATGAATATTGCATTCCTAACCAAGATGTTTGGGTTTTGTTTCAGAGGACGAAGTCATAAATATGGAAGACGATTTTGGAGTATCTGATTCTCAGATGTGTGCAATAGATTATGAAGAACCAATGGCTATGGACTATAGGTATGTTTCGGTGGGGACAGGGTTATGGGGTACATTGACTAGTATGTATGGATTTTTTTATTTCTGGGACCTATTTAAAAAAAACTGAACTTTTAATTTTTTTTTTTTCAATTTTTAGTTTTTATTGTATCTCTTCATTCCAGTTGTCAACAAAAATCCTTACCCCACAGAGCAACTCCACCCAGTGGGGCAACCACACTACAGGGAGCTACCCCTCTTCCGGGGCCATCCACATCACATGTCAGTCGACCGGATCAAGAAGGTCACAACATAATGCAGGGTTTAATTAAAGATATCTCCGGGCTCAAGTAAGTTGTTGTCGCTTGGAATCTTTTTTTGGTGCAGATATCCTGAAATTGATCTCGAGGCCACAGCTAATTTTTAATTACATGTCCATTTTGAGCCCCTCGGTAACATTATCGTGTAAATCAAGAATTTTGAATCTCTGCCATTAAGAGTCCCCCAAGGACACCATTGTGTGAATAGTTTCGGGGAACAGAGCAAGAATTTTGAATCTCACAGCCTCTTGGAGACTTTCTGTAAATGGCCTTAGGGGAGCGGATCTAAAATCTAGAATCCTGTTCATTCAGGGCCGCTCGGGGAATTATCACAAATTGTGATTATATTTTCAGTAAAATGCTTATGAAAACCAAACGCGAAATGGAGGCTTTCAGACGGAATCGAGGTTTTACTCCGTTACAAAATAGAAATTGGCAACAATGAAGAAATTCCAGATGAAAATTTGTCTGTGTTTTTCAAACAGAAGTGTGGAATTGTACTGTAGAAACAGAACAGTGGTTCCAAGTTTACAGGTACCAAAAAAGAACCTCAGAGGGTACTAAAGTAACACTTATCGTTCAATTTCTCACAGAATCAATGTTTTTGTTATTTATGTATTTAATTATGTTTTAATGTAATTGTTACATTTATTATAAATTATTGAGACAGTCAGTGTTTTACTTTCTCTAGAAAAGGAGAAATGGGTCCTGTGTGCTTGGAGACGAATTTGGATCCGATTCTCCCTCTCATAGCTGTTCCTACAATTGATTCTCTATTCCTACCTGAAAATGCATAGTCTCACTCCAAAGTTCTTCATATAGTCACCATGAATTTAATGAGAAATGTCAGCTCAAGTTTTCAATTTTGCTAACAGTAGTTTTTATAGGGGAACCTATGCCAATTTCCCCAGCCCCACCCAGTAATAGATCAACAACAGCATTTTATGTACATTTTTATTTACAGAT